TCGGGTTTTCCAGCGGACCGTTCGAGCAAGTCCGGCTTCTCTGCTGCTAACGCTGCTGCCGGGATACAGCTGAGGAGACTGCTAATGCTATGTACCGGGACACTGCTAATGCTGCTTGCCGTGCTGCTGTAGCTCAGTTGTAACTGTAACTGATGCTGAGACTCTACTGACTGCGTGACTGGTAGACGGCGGTGGGTGGCGCAACAGGCCAAAACACAAATTCAAAACATAAACATGATTTGCGGACCGTAAAATATTTTTTTAAATGCGAATATTCTGGCTGTACTATTGTTGTCGGTGAGATCAGTATGTTATATGAACATTATTCCTTAGTCTCTGTGACATATTAGGAGGATTTTACGACTATTTGCTTTAGATTTCTTACATATAGCTCCTTTAGTTCAAAGCCGACAGAAACAAAATAAAACTCACAGAACTGTCTTGGTTATTCTTTCCACTGCTCTAACAATCACCAGCTCTGGTTTGGTTGAAATTAACCCTTAATTCACTTAGTTAGATTTGAAAACATGCTGCCTCTTTACGCGCTAAAATTACAATTTTTTTAAATGGAGTTTGGTGGGTGTGGTGATAACGATTTCAGAGCTGTTTCTGGTTAACTTAAAAAAAAAAAAAAAAGTCTGTCTCTGTAAGGATCCTTACCATAATGTGTCAAGACACTTAAGGTGTCACACCTGCCCTGTTTGGTTCAGTTCAGTCAAACTCAAGTCACATGACACATTGTTTGGGTTAAACATGAGCATGTTACAGTCCTGGAGGATTATTAATGTGCACCTCCTCCTGTACTGCCTTAATATGCACATTCAGCACATCCAATGCATCAAAACATTGTTTTCTAGTTGGAGCCGCGCTTCGTTTTCAAACTGTATGGTTTGACTAAAATGAACAATGACAGCAATATAGTCCACGATGGGCAGCGCTAAAATCAACCTGCGTAGTTGTCCCTCCATTGTGACATTAGAAAGTGTCACATTTATCTTGCAAGTGTACTCTTCTTCAAAGTTTGGTTTACTTCCTGGATTTTTCCCACACGGAAATTGTGACCAATCAAGAGCAGCTTGTAAATGCTGTCGAGGGAACTTTGTGAGGGACCAAAGCAGGCGAACGCTAGGTCTGAAAACACCCTTAGAAGAATAGTCTGAGCCTGTCAGTGGCAAAACAAACAATTTTAGCGCATGTAAAGTGAAGGTGCACGATTGCCCCATTAGCTTTACATTGCAGCCTGTTTTGTGGCTGTCGTCTGCAGCCGTCTCGCTCAATACTGGACTGATTTCAGAAACTGTTGCTCCCACTAGCCACTTAGAGACAAAAACATGCAAAGATGGATTCCAGGTTGAAAAATACCAAAGTCACTCTTTAAATCAAAATTAAATTTGAGCCTGGGCGTAACAGCTGTGTGTGCATGTATAAAGGTAAAGCTACAAATAAATACTACTTCATGGCTCTTAGGTTAGGACATCTGAAGATGACGAATATTGTAACCAACAAAAAGCATGTGCATGTCAGAGGAGAAAACAAATTACAGTCCAAGTTGTGAACAAAAGGTGTTGATCTTTGCCATGGATTGGTATATTGCACTTAATAACTCTGCTGTTGCTTGTTGGTTTTGATCTGGAGGAGCAGCTGTGTGTGTGTGTGTGTTGAACCACAGTTCCCAATACTGTGCATCGATTTTAAGACTGATCACGTGATGGTTTTTGCTTCGCGGCTTCAAACTCAAAAAGCATCTAGTAGTGTTAAAACTGCATTTAACATAAACGCCGCCTGCCTTTTCCAGATGTGCATATTCATAAATAGTACGGTGTCGGAGGCAGACGTTATTATATTCCTTTAACTAAGAAATCCATGACACACACTGTGTAACAAAAACAAGTCAGAAACCTCACTGTAAAAAAAAGAAAGTGTTATCTGTAATGCTCACTTCTTAAATAAAAGGGAACATGAGCTCTGTAACGGACTGAATACACGATCTATTCACTGTTAAAAAAAAACATACATATACACATATAAGGCTTGAGTTCTCAACTCTTGGTAGTATTATTGCCATCTAGCATATTTGTAAAGCTTAAAATAAATATGGAGTACTGTACATAAATAATTTACATCAATAAGCAAAATAAAAAAAACAAAGAAACAAACACAAGGCCCCTAAACGTGAGAAATGCTGTCACTGCTTGAGTTAGTGTTTCCTGTTGATGATCTAGACTCTGAGGTTGGTTACTCTACCTAAAGCTATCGGTGTGGCAAAGACGACTACAGTCATGGAGAGACAAAATAAATCACTGTACAAACGAGCACGAGAACATGATCACAACAACCAGGTGACGTGATTCATCAATGCAGACGGTGGTTATTGGTTGTAGATGAAGGGGAAATCCACCTAAAGGCACTTTTAGGAGTCGTTTTGTGCTGCGTTCAGGCGAAGGCGGAGGTTTCGTTTTCATTCTGGGGGGCACACGAATGAAACGGGAGGTTTGAGGGTCCTCTGCCAGAAAAATGTAAGCATTCTGGGGATTTTTTTTTACGCACAAATTTATAAGTCTTTAATTTCGTGAAACGCAAAAAAGGCGTCCTCTGCGCATGCCTAAATAATGAGGGGGACGTGTTCCCTTCGCCGATGCATTCAGGGTCCACTTAATTAAACCAGATTACTATGGTGCATGTTTACTGATAGAGGGGCAGGTCGCCATCTAGTGTTTGATTTCCATCATTGATTAATCTGATTATTTTTTTAAAGAGTCAAGGAAAGGTCGATGTCATCTGCGCTCTTTCGTTTTTATGTTCGTCAACGGAAACACCCACTCAGCTGTTAGCGTTAAGCAGTGGCGCAGCGTAGAGCGCTGATGGTCTTGCGTAGCTATCTCACTGTCACTGGAGCATGCTGCTGAAGTTTAAAGGTATCTCAAATCAACTCGTAGAGTGAGACAGAGTCTGGATTCACAAGTCGTTCTATTCAGCAGAGATCTTTACAACAATTCACTGAAAGAACAAAGCAGTCTTCGTTTCAGCGCATAGGTCGTTAGCTCGGAGGTTGTCATTTCCCGTAGCAAAGGGGATTTGGAAACGGTTACACGCAGATAGCGAAAGATGGAAGAATGCCAGCGGTATGAGGTACTTATCCTGAGTAAGTGTATCACATACAGCAGATGGGGGTCGGAGAATTGAAGCAGTTATATCGGTCTCTGACACGTTTTTTGCGCCCCAGAATACATTTTTTTCAATGGAGACGCATGGCAGGCACGCTCAACACCTGCCGCAACGCCGTCACAATATGCACGCGTTCTTGAGCGCCTATGTTTGTCCCATGGACGATATTTTTGGCCTAATACACACTTGTAAACAGCGCCTGGAAGAAGATCAGCTCCGCACTCAGGATTTCTGGTAAGGAGGCTATGACACGGTGCTGGTTATGGTCGCTTAGCAACCTTGAAAGTTGCCACAGAGTAGGCACAAGAGTAGCGCCCAGCACCTGACCTCGCGCTTCCCATGCAGTTTTAAACGCAGCATGTGCACAGCCTCTAATTTCCAGGGCTGGTACCTGCGGTTATTCCACAGGCTAGTTAATAACATGTCGGGCAGGAAATCCAAAGTGTGGGATCATTTTGAGAAGGTGAAGGACGAACCCAAGGTGATATGTAAACTCATCTTCATTGGTCGACTACAAACATGACGTATCATTTGAAACATGGAAGTAGCTACATGCCCATTAGCCCACAGCGTCATTAATGGACCGTAATGATGACTATTGGTCGACTAGGAAAATTCTTGGGCAGAAAGAACACGCAAGTTCTGACAGAACGTCAGGAGACTCAGCTGTTAATGACGAAATTCCGAACTTTGTCGTAACCAAAACACTGCTATTTCCGCAGCATACTTTTCGCATCATGTCCTGCCTCCTGCACGATCTACCGGTTGTTAGCATGCATTAGCTCGGAAGGCTAACTCGGCTTGTGAATGCTGCCGTCACCCTGAATGTCCCGCTCAACACTGCTCAAACTTCTTGGTCAGAAACGAAACGAATAGTCTGCCAAAGACCTGATTGGTTCATTGAAACAATAGTCGAAAGATTAGTCAACAATTGAAGTAATCATTAATTGTAGCCCTGAACAAAGCTATTGCATATTTTCAGTACGCTGTGCAGCCCTTTTTTGCAAAACTCCTGAAATGTAGTGAACAGAAAACGACGCTTAACAGCGTAAAAGTGCCTGAAGGTGGATTTTCCTTTAAGAAATGGCAACCGTCTGCCAGTTAACAATGATTTGTAAACCCAAACTAACCACCTGCTAGCCACACTTTTGTCGCACAAAATGGCTCTCCTGTCCTGATGCATGACTTTCTGTAGCAGATGAAGATTTACCAACATACGTCCGGCCGCTCGTCATCTCCCACCCTGCTCAGGGGAACATTGAACACTTTCTGCTGGTAAAGTTCATTCTGTTTTGTTTTTTTTTTAACTCTTTTTTTTTTCCTATACAAATGAACACTTAACTGGTGTGAAGTGACGCTCGTAATGGAGAACTCATATACTCATGCCTGTTCCACTGCTGTTCCCTTACAAAACAAAACAAAAATAAACAGCACGTCTTACAGTCGATCATATAAAAGCTTTAGGCTGTATTCTTATTTATCCTATGCATGCGGCCGTACACAACCGCATTTCTGAATAGAAACCAAGACATTGGTACACTTCTGCTTTGTTTTTGTACAATAAAAGATAAAATGTGCATTAGGTATGCTTGTACATGACATTGTACAATATTTACATACAATTCTTAATAGCATGAAATTTCAGGATTATCTATATACATATTGAAAATGTATCAGAAATATTTGGACTGTCTATTTTTCTTAAATATGTAAGGTAATGCTTGTAGCTTTTTTTTGTTTGTTTTACTATCTTATACTAGAAAAAAATAGTTAATTCAGTGAGCTGTAGACAAATTGCAACCGATGTTTTTCTCTAGTTTTTCTTTTTTTTTTTCTCTACAGTTAAAACTGTATCGGTGATTGGAATTTCCAGCACCTTCTGTGGTCAGTCATTAAGTCAAGTTGAGATCATGGAACAAGGATGTACCACTGAAAGTCCATGTGTAGCACCTGTGAGAGAGCTCAGATCGCATCAAGGCGGAACGGACGAAGTCTCCGAAGGCTTTGAGGACGTTCTTGGGCCGACACATTCAATGTTATCTGGATATCTTCCTCCTCTTAGGCTTGGGGAGCTTCACCTGACGATCCCTCGATGGGATCTGGGGGCAGACAGAGAAACACATGGTGACGCCTGCACGAGTCGGGAGGTGATGTCAAAAAAGCATTAGAAGAAAAATGATTTCTAAGGTGTAAACACTCACTGTGCCCGACATCTTATCCAGCTCGCTCATGGCCTCGTGGATAGCAGCTTCCAAGTGATTATTCAGTTTCCCCTGTCTGTTGGACATTTACATTTATACGTTATTTACATGTAAGCTCATGCAGACAGGGATACAAAGTTTTTGCCACAGACTGTATCATAGAAGTGGCCATCTTGGTTTTATGGAGCCAGATGTGACCATATCTGGATGAGAAGGTGGAGGTAGGGAGGACACACATTGCTGCGTCTCAAGGAAGCCATGGCTGCTGCAGCTGATTTTAAGACCGTTTTATCAGATTTACTTTTATCTTATGAACCCTCAGGTCTTCTGGCAGTGGTCTTTTAATCATCCACAATGTTAGAACAAAAACTCACGGTGAGGCATCATGTCATAACTATGGTCCACGTGTGTGGAACCACCTGCCTTAAGACCTGAGGGCCGCAGAGAGTGTTGAAGTTTTTAAAAGCAAACTCAAGACCTACCTGGCTTTTAATTGAACTGTCTTTTTTTTATTATTATTTTTCATTTATTTACTTACTTATTTATTTTTAACTGTATTGTTTATTTTTTTTATTTTAATTCGTATTTATGATTATTGTGTATTCATTTATTTTTATTAATCTGTAATCCAGGTGTGCTGTGCGATTTTGTGAAAACCATAATTATTATGGCAATATTCAACTTGGCCTGTACAGAAATTATATGGATGAATTTTTTAATTGACTGTATCAGTATATTGTGCGCACCCATTTCCTGATAAAGAGGCAATCTCTAGCTAAAAAAAAATGTAATTTAATTTAAAAAAAACCTTCACGGGGAACCTGTTTGTTGCTGTGCGTGTGCGCAGGAATTAAAAGTGTGTGACACATCAAAAGCTCTGATTGGCAGCCAGTGTGAGAGATGATAACTTTTAAAAATAGCACCAGCAAAGACGACCCACCGCTGAAACAGGATGTGTCTTGAGATTTTGGCGTGCCCTTTGGTGTTCCCTGCGCACAAAAAGTTTGCAAACCACTGGCCTAAAGCACACCCTGCTTTATCGTCTACTTTTCTCAAAATGGGACCATAATTGAAACATTTAAAATCATGCCGCATCTAAGAAGACTTCAATAGAAATGAAGACTGAGCATTAGGAAAGAAAGTTAACGGAGGTATTAAGTGAGAAACAGGGTCATCTTCTCCAAGACTAAGGGCCTTTTCACCCCTCAAAGTCCAAACCAAGATTTGTGTTTTTGTTACACTGCACACGTTTGATCCAGTTAGTTTTGGTTTCACCTTGCAGTTATGCGAGCGCACTTAAGAACGATAAATGACATACCTATCCTATATGCCGTCGTCATCACATACGTCAGCTGTGTCTTCATATATCTGACACTGATTGGTTTGTATCCTCCCTCTTTCATCCTCTCAGAAAATATCTGAAAAGTTTTTTTAGAGACATTTTTCCAACTGAGTCTTCATAAAGTCGTTAAATCAAACGTCAGTTAAACATTTGGTGTGCTCCTCCTCCTCCTCCTCCTCCTCCTCATGTGCGACTTTGACTCATTTTGATTCTGTAATTTCGCTTCAGATCAAACTGAAACAAACTGAAAAGTCCAAACCCAACGAGGAAGGTGTGAAAGGTCCCTTGCAACCAGTGGAGTCGCCTCCTGCTGGCCATTAAACAGAGTGCAGCCAGCAGGCTAGGTCCACTTCTTTTACACAGTCTGTGGTTTTTAATATTTGGTTTCTGCAGGAACCAAAACACAGTTTCAGAGCAACACCCTCAACAACAAGGTATCAATGCTATGCTGGACAAACACCGTCAAATTAATGACGGAACTGATCATGTGCTAAAGCAGCAGCTGTTTAATCATCGCAACTTGGCACCAAAGGTGTCGAAATTCTCCACATGTTGAAGCATTATGACAGAGGCTGTAGGGTTGGGCGTTGGGATGACTGACATAATACGTCAATGGTTGTTTCACCAAGTTGTTTCGCCAACAGGACGTGCGAGAGCCACCGTTCAGTGGGGAAAAACAGCGTGTAGAGCCGGCAGATTTTCACAATGTAGTCAGTGGATTCAAGGTCCAGAGTGTGGGATTTAGTGGCATCTGGGGGTGAGGTTGGATGGATTGGCAGACTCCATGGAAGAGGATGCACCCCATAAACAGGATCATTCTATACCTTCTATTCGATACCGAAAACATGACTCTTATTTTCTGGCGATTATAAACGAAAGAAAGCATAGCTGTGACTGTTATATTCCATTTTCCACCAATACATCCCCATAAATTCTACACACTGGACCTTAAAGGGTTTATTCCAACCAAACTGGAGTTGGTGATTGTTAAACAGGAGAAAAGCCAGTGGCCAGTTGGAAAATTTTCAACCAACTGCCCAACCCTCAGCTGCAGTAAGAGCTGCTTCTTTATAGTCTTTCTAAAACCAAAAAAAACCCCAAGAGCGAAGTCTAAGCAAAGGAATAAAGTGCGTGTTAATCTGCTCTAATGTAAGCTGTGAAACATCTGTAAACATGAGCATGCTTGGTTAACCAGCTTCTGACCCACAATAGTAACCTACTTCCAGCGCCAAGAGTTAATGCATCTTTAATAACTGCACTATTTTTTGGTGCCGCCGAGCTGGAGCTGCTGCAACACCAGGCCTGGGGTTTGAAGTCTACCATATTTCTAATGAAATACGTTGTTTGAAAACACAAACAATAAAGCAAAAACTTCATGTACCTGGTCCTGGTAACATTACATCTTTTCACAGTTAACATCTGTACATGTTTAAGTTTTAACGCTGCACTGAGGCGAGCTGACTTCAGCACATGTCAGTCAGAAACCCATTCAAACAAACTCCTTATCCTGATTATCTCACTCACTATAGCTGATAAAATCCAGTTATCATTTCAACAGCTGAAATTACCGTTCACTGACAAGACATGAGAAACCTGCTTTCATCTACCGCTGTCTGAAATCAAGGATCCGACAGATTTCGAGTGCAAATCCTCCACTGTCATCGCTGTAAACTTTGCAAAGCTAAATTTAAAAGCTCAACAGGTGCAGCAACGTTAGCTATGAGTGTGGCTTTGGGTCAATCAATACAGCAAAAATCACAGACAATCACAGACTGAAGCAACAATATGGCGTGCCGGTTTACTTACTTCAGGCCTCTTTTGGCGGCGAGTGCCTCCAAGTCGTGAGTTAGTGTTTTTAGCTTCTCTGGCTCGACCTGAAGGAGACAAGAGAAATCACCTGAGTACATTCAGCACTGTTTGGTGATGATGGAGAGTTTGTTGCACTGTCTACGAGTTCATTTGGCAGTCGTCGTCGGTTGGACCTCCTCTGAGTTGGAAGGTAAAATGTAAGTGTTGGAGCATTTTGGAATCCATTTGCCACAAGACAATAAAAGTGGACTCACATGAGCAATCACTTATCGGGTTAGTAAATGTCTGGAGGATTGGCTGAGATAGACAAACATGAATCGCAGCCCTACGACACTTCCTCCTCATACCTGGCTGTATTCACCACGCCGTGAGACAGCCGTGTTCAGAGGAAACAGAGGGAGTTCTTCACAATATAAATATTTCATTTTTTAACTATTACGGTTATCGCGAATGCCGGAATATCACGACACCCCTGTGATGCAGACTGGCAGCGTTTGTTATGGGAAGTCTTTGAATGAGAGTCTACTGCATGTGTGTGTGAGTAAAAAACAACTATGAGCAAACTTGTGGGTGCCACAGACAAGTGTCGAGATATGCTCAGGTTCCAGTAGAACGACTGTAAAAAGGGACGTGTTTTGTGTTCGCTGCACAGACAAAATAAAACATCTGTTTAATGCAATGTCGGTCTGTAAAAGCTAGTAACCTGCTACGGGCCTTTGCACACCCGAGTCAAAAATTGTTGCACCTCTAAAAATAAATACGACTTCACGTTGTGTCAATTACGTTTGCACACTGAGTCCGAAACTTTCGTCCAATTGTCTGTTTTCAAAAGCCTTTAGAGATGTTTGACTGAAGAAAATGCCGCGAATTTTCACAACAAATTGAACTATAAAATGCATCAGACATTTTGTTTTCAGATGATGAATTAAAAAAAAACGCATCCGAAAAAAACGGACTAAAGCTAACTGAGTTAGCCTAAAGAATCCAGACGTCTTCCAACTACGGTTACAGCCCTGCTAGCAGTCGAACACACCAAGAGAAAGCGAGGGAGCATCATAAGGGAGCCACCTTATTTTAGGATAAGCAACACACTCTATAGAACTTTTAATATGGATTTATGAGGATGAACGCTGGCTGGAAAGTTTGATAATCCCCTGAAATCACCCTTCACCCTGCGCTCTTATTCAGCCTGAAAATAAGTTGGCGTGTGAAGTAATGACAGGTGGTCACAGACGGGTGTCTCACCTTGGCCTGCTCCCGCAGCTGCATAGCAGCGCTGTGCACTTGTTCGTCCCCGGCCAGCTTGGCAGGCCAAGGTGGGAAGCCCTTCAGCTGGCCCCAGACCAGCTCTCCCATGTTGAAGGTCCTGGACCGGTAGTGAAGCAGCTCTGAGGAGGGAGAGTCCGGCTGCCGCAGGTCCTCCTCGCTGCTCAGGCTCTTTGTGTCCGAGGGGCTGGGCGCCATACCGTTGAAGTGGCCGTTGTAGTGGCTGTAGTCTTTGGCTGTGGCCAGAGGGCCCTCCAGGCTCGTGGAGGAGCTGGGAGACTGGTCGTCCCCCGTCAGCTCCTGCCGAGGGGGGCCCAGGATGTCTCCGTAACCCCGGGTGTTGAAGTGGGGGGTGGCGCCGTTGATGTGGACGCAGCGTTCCACCGTCTGCTCCAGGCGCTCCTTGTAGTTAGCAGGTGTCCGGTTGCAGTTGTTGAAGCGATAGCCGTCATCGAGAAAGGCTTTATCGTGAGCCATGACCAGGCCGTGGTCGTTGGACCCCTCAGTGGGGCAGGGCGGGGCGGGGGCCAGGCTGGCGGGTCGCTCCATGCAGGGACTACTCCTCACCTGGGTAGAGCACTCCAGGAACTCCTCGCCGCCCCAGGCGCTGTTGTTACTGTGAGCGTCGAAGCCTGCCCCGTGCTGCGTCTCCCCGTCCCACTGCCCCCTGGGAGTGCCGCGGCCAGGAGAACGGAAGTAGTCGTTGGCCTCGGGGCCATCTGGAGTGCTTTTCCCTGGATCCATGTTCTTCTGACCCCGACCCGGCCTCACCTGCCTCTGTCTGGCTGGCTGGGGTAACGCCTCCCCTTCCTGGTGCCCGTGCAGGACTGTGCTAACTGCTTGGGGGAGATTGACAGGCTCCCCTATCGAGGCAGTGAAGGCACTCATGGCGCTGAGGGCAGGCACGGGACTCGCCTGTGTGGTCCCGCTCACTGTGGTGGTAATAGTAACGTGCATGCCCTTGCTGGCGGCGTCCACCACGGCTCTGTAGATGGCGTCCACCGACTCTGGGCCTCCACCGGGCCCCCTGTCACCCTCGCTCTGGGGCTGCTGCCCCTCCCTGAACTGTGGGTGCGACAACATCCCCGGCTGTGGACACAACAACAAGGTCATGAGGACGAATGCTTTCATGAAACAATGTGAGATCAACATGTGAGTCATCATCCCACCTGGTAGTTCTGGTAGAGGCAGGCCATGGAGCCAGCGGTGGCGTTGTTGCTGTCTGTGTACGGTGGGTTGTCAGAGAAGTGCTGCTGCCCCTGGTAGGCTTGGTGGGAGGCCACACCCTGCTGCATGCCCTGGTGGACCTGCTGCTGGTACATCGGACCTCCGCCGGCGTTGACGTGTGGCTGCAGGCCGCCCATACCACAGCCAAGGGATGACGGGTTTCCTGCAAAACAATTGGGAGAATATACGTCAAGATCGTTCTGGGCCCTCCACTATGGGAGCTGACAGGGGACAAAAAGAAAATCATTTGTGTTATGTTTTTAAAGGGTTAAATCAATCTTTCGACAGTCTTAAAAATGCTTTGAGATGGGGAGAAGGATTTTCTGAATTTTATTTTTTTCTGACGTTGCCTTGTAAAATCTTAAAATAATTGGTCACATCTATTTTTTAAATATTATTTTTTCTTTAAATTTCATTACAAGTTGCATTTAAAAAGGTTTAAATCTAACTTGCATTGACTTTGCAAATAATCTGTATTACCCCTTACATTTCCATTCAGGCTTTTGCAAGCGATATACTGTAAATAAATAAAAATACCGGAAACATCTTTCTGTGTAGAAGCAGATCTATTTTGAGTGGGCGTCCCAAAATAAATTCAGAACACAGGAAACCACAAAACGAATGGCAAAACTGGGCGGGCGTTGCTCAACAGGGACGTTAACAATCAAAGCAAAAGTTGCACATTAACAATCTGTTGCGCCCCAAACTAACAGATGGACACGCTGCCAGATGCGCGGTCCAGACAGACTAGTTAGCGAAGCGTTCAAGGACGGAACACGAGCAAAATATATCAAGGCCACAGATGTATCAATGAAAGAAGAGAAAGCCCAGCAGCAATGTTATGCAGACAAAGCCCAAGCAAATACAAAATCTCCGAGGCCTAACGCTGTGTTTTCTGTGTGTGTGTGTGTGGACGAGTGGCGACTGGAGCAGCTGGTGCGATGCTACGTAGCTGAAGGGCAGCTGTGTGTGTTCTCCATTTTTTTCTCTCTCTCCTCTTTTCTTTCTTCCCCTCTCCCTCCTCGCTAACGCTGAGAGCCACGACTCGGCCAAGCCCCCTCCCCCTTCCTCCCCACATCCTCCGCTACTGCTATGATATAGTGACGGCTGTTGCCGGGGGAGGTTGCCATGGGAACCGAGTGATGATTGGTGGTGCTGTCCACTGCCAGGAAGCTTGTTGGGGGAGTTGGGTGGGTGGATGAGGGGGGTTACGAGGGTCGGGTGGTGTGATTTTATCCTGCTGGGGGATGTGTGGGGGGGGCGGTCAGCTGGGTGGCAGGAGGTCTGGGGGGGTTACAATGAACTTTGGAGTATTTGTTGATGGTAAGAGTGGAGGGGGGGGGGGGGGTTCAAAGCTCGCTAGCTGTCTAGAAACAGATGGTTAGAGGCTGATGCTAAAAAGCCACTGACTAGGCCTCTTCCAAAGTGCTCTCAGTGCTCTTAAGATCCTAACATGTCATCCAAATTAGCTTCAAGTATGGGAAATCAACGCAGCTACTCAGAGGCATAACATCTGCCATTGGCTTACAGAAAAATCCTTTATCCCAAGAGCCTGTGAGTGCTTATGTGCCTTTGCCACCAGGACTCGAAAACAGAGGAGGGATCTCTCTGAGGAGCTGAGGTGAGTCTATTTACTGGAGAGCAACACTGCTTTCTTTTGTATTTCAAAAAACCCCCGATGAGTTTTGGACCACTAGAGGCACTGTAGAGTAATGCCCCCGAATTGTTAGCATTATATCATGACACAAGGTTGCAGAGACATGAGCGCATTTATTCTTACCGATAGCTTCGTACCAAGTAGATGGCTAAATTCTGAAACCATGACGTCGTGCTTTTTCTCCTACACGTAGAGCTTTAGCCCTTTTAAGAGGCGGTGCTATCGGGTCACTATGAAGTCCTTTCTTTATGCCACCTTTGAATTTTTACACAGAACAAAACAACAGCGGCATCATTCTGCTCCAGTGTGTGAGTTTAAGGCCCCGACACACCAAGCCGACAGTCGGCCATCGACCAAAGTCGGGCTGTCAGTGAGCATCTGTCACCCTAGTTTTTGCGGTGTGTCCCGCACCGTCGGCACTTCGTCAGTGGTGGCTTTTCGGCCAACTGAGCATGTTGAATCGGCGGCAGAGCTTGTCGTGAGAGAGATCACTCTGATTGGCTGTTCAGGTTTTATTTTCTGAGGGAAGCACAGCCAGTTAGCCTCCGCTAGCTTCCCAGCTAGCCCCGGCTCTCCGTTTGGATCCAACCGGAGCACCGAGCCCTGGTTTGTTATTCAGGTTAAAGTGGGAAGAAGCAGCGGGTTTATCGGGCAGCTGAGTGAAGTGGAGCCTGCGGCGGAAACACCGGGACCATCTGAATGTAATAGTCCGTGGAGGTGCTGCAGTACCACTCTGTCACTCTGCTCTCTCTCACGCAGGCAAAGAACATACATGCCACTTGGCGGTTGGATGTAGCCCCTGTAGTGTGTTCGAATGCAACTGAAACAGGGAGACGTGAGGCGACGTAGACGACGCAACAGTTGGCTTTCGTCGCCGCTAGTTCTTTGATGTCGGCTTGGTGTGTCCGCACCTTTAGACAGCAAGCCGGCATTGCAAAAGCAAAAGAGGCATAACAGGCCAGACAAGTGACACAACAGCGTCTAGTGTGACATAACGTACGCGTTAGCAGTGCTTTGTACACGATAACAGTGGCATACCATGGCAATAACAATAATTTTCCATCAGCGTTATATGGTGGCTGATCTAGCAGGGGTTGGGGAAAAAAAGGAGAGGAGCAACGATGAGCACGTAAACCAGCTGACCAATACACGCTGCAGCATTAACTAAATTATAACACCTCTGTGGTGCAGTTAATAACACTCTGCTCAGTCTATTTCACCTTAAAACCCCGTGCCTGGCCTGCCCAGTGTCTTGGCTTTCAAATGAAATGATTCATTCATCAATGCAGTTAACTTTTTATAATAAAAATGATGCGGACCATTATACAAGCATGAGCATCCACAGATGGATACAATCCCACTGGCGCCCCCTGATTTAAAAGTGAGGGTATGGAGGTAGGATGAAGAGGAGAGGGACCTGGACAAGAGCCACACTGTAAGCGAGTAAATTCATCTGTTAATTTAATTATTGATGACCAAAAACACAGTATGCTATATTTGAAAGGAACAGAAAAATGAATCGTGTGTTGAAATCCAACATTTTGATACACTGTGATGCATCGATAGTCATTTTATTATCGAATCGTTACCCTCTGAATCGTAAAACGAATCGAGGAGATTCCCACCCCTATGATCCCGTCCTCTGCTGGGAGGGTAAGGAGCTTCCGGACCTCATTGTTTTCCAAATATGCGGACGTTTTAGTAAGTGTGCATGTGCCAACCGTGCATGCAGCACAGTTAGGATATAGATTTTATTCTTTACATTCTTAATATCTACTAGTCTTGAACACTGTCGAATAATACACATTTTATTTTATCTTTAATGTGCGTTTTCATTTTCACTTCATTTTTTTGCTTTATATTTGCATACTTCTATTTCAATTCTCTGTTCTTTACAGCTGAGCAACTGTTAAGAGTCACAATTTCCCCTCGGGGGTCAATTAAGTATTTTCGATTCTGATTTTCAGCTGCTGTTCTTTTCTCTTTTTTTTGAGTTAGCTGCTAACTGCGATCAGCTGCTTTGCAAATCGTGAAAACGTCACACCCGTGTCGTCCAGGTTTCTGTCCTATCGGCTATCCCCTTTACATAGACGTCTTTTCGGCACTGTTACGACCTTCAAGGAGAGACAAAGCTGTCACCCCATTCCACGTTTGTACTTCTAATACAGAACAACGAGGCAGCATAACGGTGTGAAATTCCCACCTTGAAGAGGCAGTGTAAAAGGGGCTTTTGACTCACAGCCTGAATCCAAGTGGGCCTGACCCGACCTGCGAGGTTCAGGCCCCGTGGATTAAATCAAGACGGGTTCGCTCCAATATCCTGGTCTTTTTTACTTATACTTAATACTTAATACGTCACATGACAGTTTTTGGTCCATGCTGAACATTCAGTAGGAGGATGTGCATGTTGAGACTGTGTTACAAATGTCTGTTACTGCACTGAGAAGACCTCAGTTGACTTTAGATTGTGATAAATGTTTTAATAATGACTTCTTGTTTTCAGACCCCAAACTGCTGCTGTGGTTTGGGCTCTAGTTGAGCTTGGACAAAAACTATGCTGGTTCATGTCGGGTCGGCCTGATTTTTTTGGGCTAAATCAAAGCAAAGATCAAAGCTCCACCATCAAGTGTTCTCATCTGCCCTTAAATGCCAAAGGAAGAAGGAGAACGCCTACCAGCATGGAAGAACAATATGCTGGTCTATTTTTTACTGTGGGATCAAACTGGGTGGAATTTCACTGGTATCAGTATTGACAACTACATTTCTGGTATCATGACATGTCTGTCAACACACAACAGGACACATGTGGCTGTCTCGCCCCCCGCTGGGCCAATATCAGGAGTTCTATTAGAAATTAAATGAGTAGAAACACAGACAATTAGACAGTAAAGAGTGGCTACATAACCTTGAACAATAAAAACAGACAGAAGCAACAGGAGGCGGCAACAGGTTGCTTCTGCTCGTCCTCAGTGTTTAACTCCATATGGTGCTGAGTCACACGTGCCTGCATGCTGCTTCAATTATAATGTGAAATATAACTTTGCCACGGCTGAGTTTACGAGCAGCTTCAGCCATAGCAAGTTTTCTTCTGTTCTTTGACATTAAGTCCAAGTAGAGGACACAGCCTGGATTGACCCTTTAGAAATCAGTGTGTGGAGATCGTTGCTTGCATCCTGATTCAATCAATCTAAAATAAAAACCATAACAGCGAGAGCATTCATCCTTCTTGCAAAAGAAAACTAAGGCTCCTGTCTTCCGCGTCATCGTGTCATTAGATTCCACTTTTTCCAGGTGGTTAAAGACGCAGCATGTGTACTAGGGATGGGCAGCACAAGCAAAAACACTATTCGAAAATCGTGGCAACTATTCGACTCAATTTATTCGAATAATCCCACCCCCCCTGGAGCCACGCACACAGAGATCCATTCATCATTAAATGCCCGAACATACTCGGGTGTAACGTACGAGGAACGGACTCCATGGAGGTCCGCGTGGACTCAAAGCGGACGTCCGCAAGCCCTGTGCGCACAAAGCTCTGCGCACCAGTGACTGCTCGGCATGTATTTTTCACATCGCGGGGATTTTTCACGGACATTTTTACAGGAAACTACAACGCAGAAGTGCGCTCGACTATGGAAGCCCGAATGACTGCAGACGTTCCTCGCGGAGTCCGTTCCGCTTATAGTACACCCGAGTATGTTCGGGCCTTAAAGCCCAAATGACTGCGGACATTCCTCGCGGAGTAGTAGTCTCTGCATGTTTCTCCTGTTTGTAGAAGAGCACCAAACTAGCTGGTAGCCCATCTCACACCGCTGTAACAATCCTATACTGCCCTCGTGCGGTTAGGAGCTGAATTGCATCTCAAATAAAGGGGGGAAATAAGACGGAAAATAGAAACAGTCGCATTAAAAAATCGATTTTTCAAAAATAAAACAACTATTCGAAATTTGTGACCCATCCCTAATGTGTACGGCCCCTAACTTCCAGGGCTGGTACCTGCGGTTATTCCACAGGCTAGTTAACAACATGTCGGGCAGGAAATCCAATGTGTGGGATCATTTTGAGAAGGTGAAGGACGAACCCAAGGTGATATGTAAACTCATCTTCATTGGTCGACTACAAACATGACGTATCATCTGAAACATGGAAGTAGCTACATGCCCATTAGCCCACAGCGTCATTAATGCTACTCTTACCTTTCTTGCATTTCACACAGCACTTAAAAAAATTTGAACATCCACAACTCTCTCCAAAGTCCCATCCCCATCCTCCATTACGTCCTCATTACATCTATGATAGACGTAGGCGTTGGCAAGGTAACGTTAGATACACGGAAGAGGAGAGCGAGTGTAACATTACAACCAAGACAGTCAAATGCAACCCCCGAGTTAAAAAAAACTCAACCAGAGTCAGAAAGTGCGTTTCCATTAACCCTAGAAATGCGCAAAAAAAAAACCCTAAATATCGCAATAAAAAACTTGTAATGGAAACACCTACATTTCGGAAAAACTCTCAAATAGAGAAAAAGTTTTACGCTTTCATGAGGTGGTTTTTCAGATGTGTCGATAGAGAAGTATTTCGCTAAAGTGTAATGGAAACACTTTTTTCGCAAATAAACGTCACCGGACATTCAAGTCCTCTGTGAATTCCTAGTTCACGATCTTCTCCCAGAAATCCTTTATCCATGGTCGCTGCCACACATAAGGACTTTGCCTTTGCAATACCACTCGCTCTCTTCGTCTTCGGTTGCCACTGCTGCAACAGCAGCAGTGGCAACCGAGATGATTGCTCGCAAGAGATTTGAAATGTCCATCTGACTTCCGCAAACAAAGTGGAGTCTCGCGGGAAGAGATTTTATGAGAATCGCGGCTCATACGCAAAACGCCTTTTAATGGAAACACCTGCAAGTTGCAATTGTACTTTGTCGAAACTTTAGAAATATCGCATTTATTTTGCGCAAAACTGTAATGGAAACACGACTAGTGATGACTGATGAGTTTTAGAATAAGGTTACATTGCTAACGTTAGATAGTAGCGTTAACGTTACTAGTAAGTGGAAACGCACAAGGACGATAATATTAATGTTTCAGAAGCTACGCTACAGTAGGTTAACATTAGATAGTAGCGTTAACGTTACTAGTAAGTGGAAACACACAAGGAAGATAACGTTAATGTTTCAGAGGCTACGCCACAGTAGGCTAACGTTAAATAGTAGCGTTAACGTTACTAGTAAGTGGAAACGCACAAGGAAGATAAAATTAATGTTTCAGAGGCTACGCTACAGTAGGCTAACGTTAGATAGTAGCGTTAACGTTACTAGTAAGTGGAAACGCATAAGGACGATAATATTAATGTTTCAGAGGCTACGCTACAGTAGGCTAACGTTAGCCATTAGCAACTGGATGGTATGTTGTAATATATAACGTTATATGTTACATTAGAGGCAAACTAAACTTGTTACGCAAGTGGTTAAGTCAGTCGGAGGACGCTCGGCCAATCATTGCATTAGTCGGAGTTTTCTTAGAACCATATGAGAATGGAACAATTATGAGTTTTTATCTCTGGTGGAATTCACTTACATTTTAGCGTGCCATCAGCTTATTAATTGCATTTTAACCTAAACAAAGAAAAGCGTAAAATTTCAGGCTCACTCAGTGTGTGACGTGCACTTGTAGATAAAATATAGACCTATATTAATGAAGGTTCATTAGTACGGTTTTATATTTCTCTGTAATGTAGCACAGTGTTAACAATGTTACTGATACTATTCTTTCTCACACCTTCAACTCAAACCACCAAAATACATAATTTAATAATTACCTTCATATTGTAAACATGCTGGTGTTTTTAGTTTTACGTGTACATCTGCACATGCAGTCGAGCTCTGCCTCCTGACAGACACAAAACGACCTGAATTTCTCAAACTTGTCAGGAGAAATACAGAATAGCGAGGCGCCTGGTGATAAGAACAGGTGGCCTGCAGCAGACCTCAGTGGTATCTCCATTATAAACCATATGAGGACACACAGACGCACAATGAATACATAAACTCATAGTCCGGTCCCACAGCAGGCAGCAAAGGAGAAAAAAAAAAAACAAGATCTATGTCTTTTCAGTGCTTTCAAAAACAAAATGCAAGCACACACACCAAAAAACATACAGTCACACACAAAGTCATTCACACGCACACAAATAAACAGAAGCACACACACTGTAATACACAAGTAGTCGCAGACATGCACACACAGTCATTGAAACACACACACAGGCCTAAACCCTCATCAAAGGCTTCACTCTGGTCTCTATTCAGGGTCTATCGTTACTATAGCGACCGGCTAGCTGGGAGAAGCTCTTTAGAGCGCCCTATCTGGGCTGCTTCCCTTAAAGCGTGATCCAGATCCCATTTCCATCTTCTTACACCATTGACTGATGCGAGCATACAAATAAAACAAAGAGAAACACTGGCTGACTGACAATTAGCCCAGCGTCCAAAGATGAGGGGCCTGCTCATTAGCTCGGAGATACTGGAGGAGCCCGACTGTCTAGGCTCGGGGCCTATCACCTAAATCCTTTGGTTTTAGTCCACTCATAACCATAGAAACCACATCTTCATCCCACTGCCAGCTTATCACGAGGAAGAGGGGGGTATACAGTCATTAGCTGCGCAGGATATCAACACCATCCTGCAGCCAGAGGGTGGTCAGTTTGGGCTGTGGCTGCTCAGACTGTGTGCTGTCAGTCACTTTAAAAACTCACTAGTGGGATTATTAAAGTGACTCCTGAGGATTTTAATCTGTTGGGAAGATGTAAAGCAGAGGTGAGTGGGTATTCAAATCATTTCGCTGGGATTATTATCGTCATTGATATGAGGAGCCTTTTAGCATCTTATTTCTTATATTACCTCTTGCATGCCTCCGAAAACCAGTCAAGTTGCGTTTAACAACCATGTCTCTCCAGACTTGTATGTCGCCATGACGTAGACAACGCTTCAAATATGGATGCTGCCTCAAAGAAGCTACAAATTCGAAAACATGGATGCTTCACACACACCTTCAACCAGGCAACCAAGGTCTACACAATCAGCACACGCAAGATAGAGTCACCAGCTCAGTATCTAAATGTCTCCTCTTCTGTTCACGAGTTATGTCTTGAAAACAGAAATCAGCACAGAGCATCATAAAATGACTCACCTGTGTCAGAGATGGTCTGTGTACAGCTTACATCACCTCCTCCATGTGACATCACCACCATGGTAGTCCGTCCCATACCGTGGAGGAGGTTCTGCTGTGATGGGTGAGGGCCAGGATGTGACAGCGGCGGGGGGTTAGTGTTGGGGCGTCCCAGCGGCATGCCGTCAGGCCCCACCGGTCCGCCACCTGGCCCCATAGGCCCACAGTTACTCATGGAGGAGGCCTGCATCTGGGCTATCATGTCGGGGAACTGGCCCGGACGAGAGCCCAGATGGCCCCCAGACGTGTCCATGTTCTGGCAGTGCTGCATGGCGTCTCCTGGACCCCGCAGCCTCTGCTGAGCTAGGAGGTTCTGCTGAGGCCCACTGGGGACCATACCTGTGCTGTCGTTGTAGTGCAGCTGTGCAGATCCTTGAGGCCCCGGGCCGGGGCTAAGACCTGGACGATGGCTGTTCCCAGCCATGTTGTGGGAGCTCTGGCAGCTCATGGACTGGAGGAGCTGGGCCATGGAGGTGTTTGGCGGAAGGTTTCCGAGTCGGCCCACTTTCCGCAGCTGCTCGGTGGCACTGGGCCCTGCCATGTGTGGTCCTCCCATGCCTCGTTTGTTGAGCATGTTGTAGACCATGTTGTTACTGTTGTCGTGGTTTGCAGGAGCGCTGCCTGACGACTGCTTCCGTTTGCGCATGGGGTCTCTCTGCTGGGCCATGAGCTTGTCTCTAAGAGCTGCCCGACCGCTCTGGCCCTCAGGAGTGTTGAGCAGCATGGTGGAGTTTGGCGGGAGCATTGAGTTTAAAGTGCTGTGTCCCTCCATGCCTCGAGGGCCGCTCAAAGAGCCAGGGTGTCCGCCACCTCCTCCATTACCTCCGCCACCTGCCCCCATGCCTGCCATTCCACCACCACCACCTCCAGCCATGCCAGCAGGGCTGTTGCCAGCAGCGCTGAGTTTGTTTTGATTTGCTAGCTGTGCTTTGGCTGCGGCTGACAAGAGACTGCTGGCGGGGAAGGAAGCGGCATTCTGTTGGTTGAGAATCTGGTTGAGGGGCATCCCCAGGAGTCCTGGGTGGCCCTTCTGGGAAGCGCTGGGGGTTGCCATAGAAGAGGACGACGACGAGGAAGAGGTGGGTGAGTACATGGGGTTGCTGTGCTGCTGGGTGCCCATCGAGTTTCCCATCCCGGGCAGCAGCTGTGAGTCTTTGTACTGGTGGTGTGGGTCAGTTTTGTTGGTGGAGGGGCTGGAGGGCATGGCTGGTCTGGGAGATCCCATGGCAGACCTGGGGGAACGAGGGGGGACCTTCATGTTGCCACATGGAGCCTGGTGCCCCGAGGGCATTGCAAAGTTCCCGTGGTCAGAGGAAGTGGAGGATGAGCGTGAGCGATGAGGGGAGGCCTCCATTCTCCCGAGGGCAGGCCCCGCCATGTGGACAGGGGAAGTGACAGGGGAGGGGGACATGGAGGAAGCCGGACCACCCTGTTGAGTCCTTTGAACATGGCCGCCATGCCCCACAGGCCCAGGCTTCACTGTGGGTAAAGGTAAGTTGCTTGGCAAGGGAACGATGGCGGGAGGGGGTATGTTTACATTCATCATTTGTACCTGAGAGTGGATGTTAGGCTGGAAGTTGGAGGGGTTGGGGGCGTTGGTGGGGGGCTGGCTGACTGGCTTGCTGGGGATGGGGTCCAGGATGCCTAATGGGTCTTTTTCGGAGGTCAACTGCCTTTTCTGAAGGGCACAGGATGGTGGTATGGATGGAGGTGGTGGTACAGGATGCACAGGGGGCTGTGTTTTATGGTGAAACGCTGCACGGGGCATATCCATACCAGGGGGGAAGTTCCCCCGAGGCATGTTCATGACAGGGCTTTTGGCAGTGGCCGTGGGGGAGAGGGGCGTGCTAGTCCTCCCTGTCATGGCGCAGGATGGCTGGCCCGCAGGGGAGCCATGGAGCATTACACTGGGTGGGGAAAGAGGCGTCCTGGTGTTCCCGTGGATGGAGGCCGAGCCAGGACTTCCTGGAAACCCACAAGGATTGGTCCTTGGAAAGCCATCAGGGCTGCCCAGAGTGTCCGCACTGGGAGACTGTGAGCCATCTCCGTACAGCTTAGCACTGGAGGGAGGTGGGCTCAGCATGCCTCCGTACCCAACCCGGTAAGGGGATTTGGGGCCTGGCTCCCCACTGCCCAGCCTCTGCGGCCTGGGGTACCCAGAGTAGAGCTCGGGCTGCTGGCCTCCACCCATCTCCTGGGGTGGATACAGCCTCTGCTGCTGCTGTCCAGCTGCCATCATCATCTTGAAAGGATTCTTGCAGTCTGGGCCGACAGCGTTGGGCAGACCATCGTGGGGTTTAGTCCTTATTGCTCGTTGAGACGTGGAATGCGCAGCGACCACAGACGATGTACCTTGAAGCCAGACAAAGCACATCAGAGTTAAATCAACATCAACACCAAGGACGAAATATAACATATGCAGATTGTTATCTACAAGCGACAGCAGAGACTGCCTTAGACTCTCTTATTGTCCGTCATTTTGATGGACAGGGGCATAATAATTCTGTCATAATTTTCATTTTCATTTTTTAATGATAATAAAACATATTTAATATCATTTAATTTTCATTTTTCAATCATTAATATATAGAACAAGCTTCGAAACATCGACTTTTTTGAGTTTTCAAACAACTGGATTTGCTCGTACCTCCCCCTGGACTGGTCAGCGTCAGAGGTGGGTGCGTCTCCATGCTCTTGTGCAGCGTGGCCACAGCCAGAAGCTTCCTCTTGTGAATGCAGAGCTTGGTGACGTCTTCATCTGCTTTCACATCCTCCGCTGTCCTCTGCTTGACAGCTGCCCCTGGGTCGAAGTTGAACACCTGAGGACAAAGAACAGGTGATTTTAACAGATATAAATTCACAGCTACCCGTGCTGATTTGTTCTGTACTCTGTCATGCTCCTGCACGTCTTGCCGAATGATCAGGTTTGATTTTTTTGCAGATTAAAAGAGTGAAATGTTGCATTTGCAGTATAATGACACAACATGACATGAGGAAATTTTTAAATGAGATTTCTACTTGGTAGCTGAAGGTTGAGCAAAAGAAAGAGAAAGGTCACAGTGACTATTTTTGTTTCGATGGTCAAAACTCATCCAGAAAGATGGTTACAGCTGAATAAAGCCAGAGAACGAAGGAGGTACATGCAGCTTTACACAATTAATTCAAGTGAATTCATAAATCCAAGGATAACCATGAGCTTATTAATGTGGATTTGCGAGTAATCAGAGGAACCACAGGGATGCTGCGGGTCCAGAACGAGGGTGGTGAGGTGCAGTTAGAAAGCCACCATGCTGCTCCACTGTGCCATGTAAATGTGCAGCCGCCCACCCTTCAGTATTATGTAAATCACAGCCAGGTGTAGCAGCACAGTGTATTTTCCTTACACTCGTCTCTTGGGACTGTGCACTGTAATGTGAAGAAAATTACTCGCAGATAATCATCAGAGACAGAGGTGATCCTGAGAACCTGGAGTAACATCCCACATCTTAGGATAGTAAAGATTTAAACACACGTTTATACACACTTAATGCCTCAGGACAGATTTTGACCGACAGTTTAAGGCTGATCTTAAGTCGTATGAAGGCTCTATGCCACAGCCTATGCCATTATACTTACTGAGTAGCAGGTAGCACCTTGTATGGTAGCCTTGGCCACCAGTGTGTGACTGTGTGTGAATGGGTGAATGTGACATGTAGTGTTAAAGTGCTTTGAGTGGCCGGAGGACTAGAGAAGTGCTATACAAGTGCAGCCCATTTATTTGCGCAATTAAAAGCTGATGCTCTGCTTATTTATGGAGCCACTGCATTGTCAACAACACGGCCATGCAAATATTTCACAATAAAAAGCCCTGTGAAGGGGATTCTGTCCACAGAAACCTTGTCCGAAGGCTTTTATTTTGAAACGAAAACAGGAAAGGTTGAGTTATAAAGATTTGAAACTGTAGTAAAAGGGGGTATAATGTCAAAATGATCATCAACAAACCATTTCCCCAGTATATTTTTGCCAAAACGGCAGGCGTCATGCTGAAAAAAATAGGCAAGACTGTGCCAGAACACCGCTGCTTATGCTAGCAGTGTGGCCTGGGCGTGATACACACAGAAAACATGACTTAATAGCAACAATATCAAAACACAAGACCAAAATGTGGCTCTGTTACATCTCACAAGGTTTCCAGACAAAACAACTGTCTTTTGCTAGACACGTTTTCCCCACAAATACCATGCTAACATTATTAGCATAAGCTTATGACATTTCCCATTGTATAAATTAGCCTAATGGCTAGTGGATTTTTCCTTTACTCATTTAAAGCAAAACAAACCTGTTACACGAGGTCAGATTATTGTTCTTTAGCCACTGAGCTCTTTCGCAGAAACGATTCATGATGGTTTGCGTTATTGTTTACTGGCACATCGTAAATATGCTTTGTTCTTTCAATATTGGATTGTGTTGTTAATGTGCTAACTGGCAAAGCAGCGTCAAGAGGGTTTTCCGGTTTCACTTTTTGAATGTCGAATACAGGCTACCGCCATTTGCTGATGTGAAAAGTTATTTGATCTCACACAGGCGCAGAAAGTACGTGCTGACTGGCCGTTAGCTGTAGTCTGCGGTGTGATCATGTGCAACTTTTTGTCCGAGACATGAGGCAACGCAACAGTCGGCTTTCGTTAATGCTAGTTCTTCTAAAGTTGGCTTTGCGGTGTGTCCCGCACCGTTGGCACTTCGGCGTCTGCGGCTTTTCAGCCGACTGAGCATGTTAAATCAGCGGTGGATCTTGTCGGTGAGAGAGATCACTCTGATTGGCTGTTCAGGTTTTATTTCCTCGCCCCTGTAGAGAGTGAATCTGCCTGTAGTGAAACCGGGGCTAACCGGTGCTTCCTCCTCAGGCTCCACTTCACTCAGCTGCCCGACAGACCCGCTGCTTCTTCACACTTTAACCTGAATAGCCGCAGCATGACCGGAGGAAAGCACAGCCAGTTAGCCTCCGCTAGTCTCTGAGCTAGCCCCGGCTCTCCGTTTGGATCCAACCGGAGCACCGAGCCCTGGTTTGTTATTCAGGTTAAAGTGGGAAGAAGCAGCGGGTTTATCAGGCAGCTGAGTGAAGTGGAGCCTGTGGAGGAAACACCGGGACCGTCTGGATGTAATAGTCCGTGGAGGTGCTGCGGTGCTCGGCTGCACAGATAGGAAACCCCTCGGCTGACAGGATGTACCACTCTCTCACTCCGCTACTTTGTTTATCTCACTCATTCCTCAGACTTCTGGTTTCCCTTTTTGCGTTATTTCCTCTCACGCAGGCGCAGAACGTACGTGCTACTTGGCCGTCGGATGTAGTCCGTGTAGTGTGTTCAAACGCAACTGACACAGGGCGACGTGAGGCGACGTAGACGACGCAACAGTTGGCTTTCGTTGCCGCTAGTTCTTTGATGTCAGTTTGGTGTGTCAGCACCTTAAGACGCTTAGGTATTAGTCAAATACTCAGGTGTCAATAGGGAAACTGAGTTACGGCTAATAAACTTTAGATTTTGGCAGCAAAATGGATGAAAATTGAAATGAATATTCTTTTTTTTTTCCCTTTGGCAAGTGGCCGTGGCATAAGTGGGATAATGCCCTTCGAGGTGTCCATAATCAGGAATTAATGGTGAACAGGGAGACGTGAACAGTCTGACGTGCAGCGGAGGACACCTCACAGGGCATTATCCCTTAAATAAAAGCTTTGTTTCCACTGAAGGAAATGTTTTTCAGTTTACAGTTTACAGCGTAGGCTCTTTGACGATGCGTAACCATCGCTGTAGTCTGAGGTATGGTGCATTTTTTTTATGCATATGTATAAAGCCGGCTTTAAAAGTCATGTGGATTAATGTAGGGGGAGAATGTTTGGTGGGTGGGGAGGGTGGTGTCTGCTTTATTAAAACATAAATAATAGAGCAGAGAAGTCAACATTTCCGCAGACGAGATGATATCAGCCTGATCCGACAGACATGGTGTGTTGGGGACAAATTTAGCTTCAAGAAGGATAATCGGTCGGATTACCTCGTGTAATGTGATACAGCGGACGCCTCACGACACCCCGCATTTGTAGTTTGGTCCTTCACAGCGAGTGGAAGTGGCCGGCCTGAATTTATTTCATACATGCTGAGCATATGGAGGGGTGGATTATGCTGCAGGGGTGGTGTGAGAGCTTTCTCTGGACATTATTATGCTCTGTCCCACCGTGAAAACTGGTCACTATTGGAATCCATTGTAGCCGACATTAATTCAAACTGACCACAGCCACCGCGCTCCGTGAAGGACACGACTACAAACTCTTTACAGCCACCTCTCAAGCTGACGGGTGACTTTTTGATCCTCAAAAGACGATTTCAACAAAAACAAAAGCATCACTTTAATAACAGTGGCCTGTCAGAAGCGGTTTTCACCTTGGTCTGACTAGTGTGACACCATTTCCTCCTCACAGACATGTTTACTTCGTCCTCAGTCTTCCCTCCATCTCTTTCCCTCCTTCGTGGCTGCCGTAACGAATGTCAAAGAAGTAATGTGTCCTATCTTGAGGCAGAGACATGTCAGGAGCCGATTGTCTGCTCTGAATTAAAATATCACGTGGTCTGAAGAGGCATTTAGCTAACACTCATTCTCGGTGACTTGCAGCAAAATCTGCGGAAAAGTTCACCTTTATCGTCACAGCTGCTCCAGACTGCAGCCGACTTTTACAGGCAATTAGCAAAAGCAACAAACAGTTAAACGGCAAAATAAACTCAATGTGGAAATTAACAAACCTTAAAATTGTGCAAGGCTCATGGAACCTTAAATGAAAGGTTTTCCCATTTGTGTTCAGCTAGTAAAATCAATCAAACATATGGCATTAATTAAAATTAAAGCAAAGTCTAAAGAAAATGTTCGATCGGTTGAAACACCTGCACAACCGAGCGTGCAGCGTCTTCACTGACATTAACTTCTCCTTTAAGAGTATAAACAAGAAAATGGTTGTGTGCAGGTATCAGACACTTAAATTAAAGAGTTTTTCCAAGATACCTTTTTAAGACCTCAACAAAGAAAAATGAATACCATTAAACACCAACAAACGGCATTAATACAAGGCAGTAAACATCACGTTCATATCAGCAGTGCTCCAGCGCCCGATGCGTTCACTCCCATCGTCCCAAGTTTTTCAGTATATCCTCTAAGTCGCCTAGATGCCATGTGACCGCATTAAGAGTAATAAAGTAATAAAATCATATAGATTTGATTAGGAATTCAGACATGTCTCCATTAGTCTAAGTTTCATCTCAAAATTTAAGACTTCTCACAAGTAAAAAATAAGACTTTTTAAGACATTTTATGGCCTTAAATTTTCAAAATCAATTTAAGACTTTTATAGGATCTGCAGGAACCCTGAAAGTAATGACATAAAAGGGCTCTGCATGCAGAAGGTATCCTCAGAAAAGGGAAACTCATGTTCGATGTGATCAATACAATCAAAGAAAGGGGATTTTATCCACAACTTAACCCATTTGCCCGGTGTGAACATGATGACCTCGTCCTCCAGATCTCCTGACGTGGGCAATCTTACACCGTGAGCCAATGAAAGCGTGAAAGAGTCTATTTTGTGTTTGTGACCTCGTTAAAAGCTAACGTTAGCTAATTTTAGGTACTATTTTCTCCCTACTAGGTCAGGGATACTCAACTTGCTTTGCCCGGGGGCCACTTTTGCAAAACGACAGGAGGCCAGGGGCCAGTTTCAGCAGTCCTACACAGGTCAGGTGAACGCAGGGTGTTTCTAGGAGTTCAGGACATTCAGGACCAAGACCAGACTTCTGCTGGGGATCCTCTCCTGGCACGTTTTTGATAAACAAGCTGTATTTTGATGCTATTTTATGCACTCTGGCACTGTATTTATATTAAAAGTACAAAAACAAATCCCAGTGTGAACACATTTACTTTCATTGTGATTTAAAAAATGGTCGGGGGCCATCCAGTTGCCTATCTGGGGCCAGATTTGGCCCCCAAGCAGTTGTCACAGCAGAAACATTTATGTTTACAATCAGCTGAATCCACTCCTCCCGACTGAAGACGGAGGTTTCTGATCCACATCTGCCGCTGTTTCTCTGTGAGTTTGTTTTTTAACTTCTCCCTTAATGTTCTACAATTTTCGGGACTTAAAGTGGCCTTAGATTTTTTCAGATTTGATATATCAGAAAAGCCGTGAACAGCACAAATCATAGGCCTTTGTTCAGTGTTGGTAGTCCTGCCTCCAGCTGCCTGCCCTCCATCTAGACAGCGCATGTCTGACATCATACGCAAGGACGTTATCCCGCTTAAGATGCACCGTTTGATCAGCTTGTGACTGGAATCAGACAGTTTCCAGCTTGAATGTCCATGTCCAGTCTCAGATAAAGCTGATCCTGTGGCGATCGCATGATATTTAACATGACCCGCTGCGACCTGACACCTTGTGCAGTCACAAATTGAACTTTTAAGTGTTTGATTGCATTTAAATCCATCTCCAAATAGGAGGGCTCAGACACAAGATTCACCACACTCAGCCAAAATCCTGTTTGACGTCTCGACATCTTGAAATGAGATGCGGTTTTCCACTTTTTTACCTCGCAGAACAACTGACGAATAAAACTTTATACAAGAACGATGGCCAAGATCGACATCTGAAGTACAGAAACGCCAGCTGCTAATTCAAGTTTAGGTTTGACTGACAGTTTTTAATCCACTAGGAGACCTTGTGTATCTGTAATTTTTTGGACAGCAGCATTTTAACTTAATTTGCAGATTGAGACTTCCATCTTAATCTTTAATCAGGATAGCTCCTGGAGCCCAGCGAAGGGGCAGCTGTAAAAACCTCCAAACGACTGCTGCATTTAAAATGAATCAGGACAAAGAATTACCTTGTGGAGGATGAGTGGGCACTCCAGGCCGCATTTGCAGGTTCCATCTGTCAGCAGGTAGGTCTTCACCTGCTCCAAGCTGGACAGCAGCGAGCCACTGGGACTGCACACAGAAAACAACAACAACATTAGGCTGAGGACAGAGACGTCAGCTGGTGGAGCTCCACAGCTCAAACACTCCTCTGATGTTATACGTTGCAAATGAAATGGGCTCTTGATTATTTTTTAGACAGAAGTGCCCACTATGAGACGATATTTGGCATTTAACTGAGCATCTGTATGCAGACATATTACAAGGGTTTAGTACTCCCACCACAGTTTTATTCCTGACTCACAAGATGAAAAGGAGCCGCTGCACACTGACAGACATACAAAGGGTTTTTTGGGTGGGTTAGCAGCTCCTTGAGGCAGCTTCTGCTGCAGGTTTTATAGGCTTGCAACCATGAAATCAAACAGTAAAATCCTCCCACTCCACAGTGCCTCACCACAGTGGAATACCTCCATACATATGACCTAAAAGCAAGCATTTAAAACATTTTGCGTGCCGATGAAGCAGGAGCATGCACCACACTGGCAGCAGACGATATTATTTTGAATAAGAAGTTTTATTGTTGCACTTTTTTTTTTAGCAAAAAGTAGATTTTAAAATATTTTTAGTTAGAAATGGTTCCATATTAGAATATCCTAATGTAAAGCACGTGAAGCAGGATTTATAGCTGACCCTACACCTACGGCACAGGCTCTATGTGGATTCCACGCAGAAATATAAATCCCAAATGAGATTGCTTCAAGCCTAGCAGTCTGCTTTTGTTTTGTTTTTTGCTAGTCAGTGTGTTTTGCAGTGTACTTCTGGCATACTTTGGACCCCAGATTTTGCTGCAGAGTGAGCACTCCTACTTTTCAGGCTGCTCTTTGGTACAGACAGCTGCTGCGGACACGGTGCAGCCGCATGGAGGAGGAAAGAGTCAGCACCGAAGGCTCCGACACAGGCCTGTCACGATAACTAGAGTTGTACCGACACCGATACCAGTATCGGAAATGCCTCCGATACTGCCTAAAATGCGGTATCGGCGAGTACAGCCTTTGACCAATCCGATACCACGTAATGCCTCACGTCATTACACATACGCACGCTACAGGCAAACAAAATGGAAATGGAGTGGAGTTTAAAAAGCATTCTACTGTAGCCTTTAAAATGTCTTTTTTACCAAATTGTTTGGCTGCACTATAACATGTGTCTTGATCTGTGTCAACACTGGATAATAATAAAAAAGTTTTATGGCATTCATTCTACTATTATGTATTTATTTCTTAATATTTTACATAGAGTTTTAGGAGTTGAGACATACAACAATTCAAATCCCATCCATTTTTATTTTACGTGCTGGTATCGGATCGGTACTCGGTATCGGCAGATACCTAAGGTTCAGGGATCGGAATCAGTATCGGGAAGGAAAAAGTGGTATCGGTACATCTCTAACGATAACAAATTTTGCTGGGCGATTAATTGCGTCAGAAATTATTGCAATAAGCGATAATATTTTAAGACCGTTTTTATTATTGTTGTAATTTTGCTGTTTTTAGACCATTTTTTAAACTTATATAATAAAAATAACGGCATATTGATGCAAGTACACCCTTCTAAAGAGAAATAAACATTTATTTAACAAGAATATTTAGGAATGCAAAAAAGAAAATTTAAATATCCAAAATAACTTTCTCTTACGTTCAACTCTCTTTTTTTCCTCCGCCTCGTCTCCCCCTCACGAAGATCGCACCGTGTATGTGTAGCCCATAGCCCCGCCTCCTCCACAGAGACAACGACACTCGATGACAAGAGCTTTCCCTCCGTTCATTACGCTAATGAACCAACTCACCTGGCTGCCAGACGATGCACGGCAGTGAACGCTCTCGTCGTCCAGTCTCTTTGGTGGGCAGAGACGAGGAAAACAAACACGCATGAGTATGGCAAGTAATCGCGTCCGGAAAAGTTACCGTCTCCCTTTTAATTTACTGTGCAATTAACCGGATTATCATATATCGAGACAGGACTACTCCGAGATAACACCATCGTCTCCCTTCTTCTTAGAAATGGTGACTTTCCAGCTCACAGCAACTTAATATGAAAAGGTGTCTGGCTTTTGACATCTAGTGTCAGCAAAAAATGTTGTTGCACATTTACGATCTTTCATTAGCGCAGTTAGCTATCTTACGTGAATATCGCTCTCACAGAGGTCATTTTGTGTAGAAGTTTGTGTCAAATTTAAAGAAATTCCCTTGAGGCATTCCTGAGATATCATGTTCACAATGATGGGACGGACATATTTGTTTTGAACAGCCAAATCTGATTCGACTGACATAATTCTGAGACGATTACAGGCCTTTCAATAATCATCAGTGATGTGGATATAAAGACTAAGTGGATAAAGACAAATAATGCAGCCTTTTAAACCAGGAAATGACGACACTTACGATATTATGATATCCAAAATCTAAGAAATATCTACTCTCATACTACAGTATCGATTCATGCCTATAAAACCAAGAATTGAAGGACTTGAAGTAAACATTATGATGTGATCAGGAGGTCACAGCTGCAGTGAAGCCACAAGAAATGAGGGGGAATATTTGTGCCCAAAAAGTTGAGGAAAATCCAGGAAATACATCCAGCGAGACACTTCAAGCTAGCCACCAATGACAGAAGAACAGTGTGTACCGTCCATTGATCCTATCAAGCACTGATAAGTTGACAAAACAGCCAGCGACTGAATCATCAGTCACATCTGCTGCGAGAATATCTACTGTGAGGATCTCCAGCTGCACATCCCTGAAGCAAACGCACACTTTAACTGTAGGAGAACACGAGCAAATACAAGTGTGCGGTGACAGTATCAGGCCACGGTCACAGAAGTAGACAGGATTCTTTCCAACACCCAAAATAAACCTGACACCAGCCAACTGCTTTAGTTCATTGTGGCTGGTAAACACACGTGCTGGTGTTCATATGCCGGGAAGGACACCAACTTCCAGTCTACATAGCAGAGTGACTGGTAAAGGATCCAACTCATTAGTCAAAGTCCCTGCTGCACACACCGAGTGCATTTTGTACACCAGTGACTGGATATGGGAAATTTCCAGTCCAGGCAAACGTGGGCTTCAGTTTACGTGCGTAAAGGGATCGCTCATTCACTGGAGTAAGTTGAGGGAATAACCATGACTCCACACAGCGAGCAACACCATCAGAAAGTCGCCATGTTTCTGTTCACCTCCTGCAGAGCCAATCAATTAAACATCCAAACATGTGTGGACGGTAAACAAACATGCTGGGTGCTCTTCGACACCAAAACATGATGTTTACTGCAAATATATCACGTAACAGGTGATTACATCATCAACCTGATTTTTTTAAAGATTTATTTTGGCTTTTTTGTCTAGATAGACAGACAAACGACATGAATCGAACCTGGGCCAACGCCAAGGACTCAGCCTCCACTGGGCACATGCTTCGCCCCTTAAGCCAAATTCACAATACACGATTTTCACCCTGATTTTGCGTTGCGGAGACTATCGTAATCTTTTGAGTATTCATACCCGGCGACGTGTGTTTCTGTCAGCGGGAGTCTCGCCAACTGCATTACTACCTGTGTGTGCACACCACAAGATTTCTCCACCGAGCCCTCGCCAACAGAGCCCCAGATAACACGGTGACGTCACCAAACTACATTTTTTTTTTTACCATGGAGACAACACATCGTAAAGGCATGGATATTCTTTATTATCATGGGTCCAAACACAACACGCTCCCCGTGATCCTGTGGACGCCGCCATTGTTGTTGCTGCTTGCCGGCAGTGTTGCCAGATCTTGGGAGAGAAACAAGCAACCAGGGCTATGGAAACAAGCTCAAAAGAAGAGACGGATATATATATATATAGATTTTAGAAACAAGCCCGCAACCCGCGACTACCAATATTTGTAAGCGACTTCACAAAAAAACAAGCCCAAAGTCGCGGCTAATAAGCGAACCTGGCAACCCTGCGACTTTTCCTCCTCACATTTCCTCTATCCTCCTGCGTGCTAGTCTCGCCACCAGACAATCAGAGATCTCCGCCTTCTGATAGTCTGGGGACACTCTTTTCTAAAGTGTGTTTAACACACCGGAGAAAACGGCCAGCAACAAAGCAACGCCTCTTGCATTTTTTAAAAGGACACGCCCTCCCGGAAATGTGTGCTGCCCCTTTTCTCGTCTGCAAGGAAACAAAAACACAGAGAGCTCGAAAATGGATGCAGAGAGATTTAACTCTGTTTTATCAAACGTGTGCTCAGTCCACAAGATTGTGGAAATAAAGGATTTACAGTGACTTTGTTTAAAACTTTTAACGCAGTCGGACTATGTTTACGAGCACAAGAGTTCAGCGAGCCACCGAAGGACCGCCCTGCAGATTTACTACTGGTTCTGCAACGTAGGGAGTTTTTTAAAACTCTGAAATTGTATCCGCCCATCTAAACACAAAATCAGGGAGAAAGACATCAGTCTTTAGTTAAAGGGAAATTTTGGTTTATTTCAACCTGTCTATCGTCCTAAATTTGTTTCAAGTGACTAGTGACATAAAAATAATAGTTAGCATTTTAGCCATTAGCCTAGATACAGCCGGAGCGCATAGTAGCATCAGACCTGTTAAAACATAAGTGAACGGGCAACCTTCAAGTGCAAAGGTAGTCCACTAAACAAGCTTTTTTTCCCACAAAGACCACCTCATATCGTTAGGATAAATGTCAGAGAACATATAGAAAACGACATGTAAACATGTCGTCTTACCTTACCGGTGTGCTGCCATGTTTGTTTACCATTTAGCTCTGCTTTCCAAAGCACAGCCGAAATATCGCGAGAACAAGCAGCAACAGCTGGAAGGCAGAACCAGACAGTAGCCTGAAAAGTTCATTCATTTATTTTATGAAAGATTTATAGAATAATGGCTGACTTTTTGCCAGACTTCGACTTTGTGGAGGAGGAATTTGATTTTGCAGAGTTTGATGGCCGCCCTTATTTATTTGAGCCAGAATACACTGACGAAGAGCTTCGTGAAATTGAAGAACGGAGGAGGAGAGAGAGAGAGGCACAACAGGTAGAGGACGAGAGAGGAGGAATGGCTGCTGCAAGGCTGCGTAGCTCTGGAGATTGGTGGTGTACCTGTGAATGCTGTGCCCCAGTGCCCACAGAAGAGGAATGCCTCTGTTGCAAGGAATGGGACGGGTTGCAGCCTTATTTTCAAGGTCTGGATGTGACCGAGGACGAGACACCTCCACCTGGAGTAGTATCCAGCTGGGCTTTATCTAGAGCTCGCCAGATATATTTCGGCCGCACTTTGGAAAGCAGAGCTAAATGGTAAACAAACATGGCAACACACCGGTAAGGTAAGACAACATGTTTACATGTTGTTTTCTATATGTTCTCTGACATTTATCCTAACGATATGAGGCGGTCTTTGTGGAAAAAAAGCTTGTTTAGTGGACTAACTTTGCACTTGAAGGTTGCCCGTTCACTTACGTTTTAACAGGTCTGATGCTACTATGCGCCCCGGCTGTATCTAGGCTAACGGCTAACATGCTAACTATTATTATTATATCACTAGTCACTTGAAACAAATTTAGGACGATAGGAGACAGGTTGAAATAAACCGAAATTTCCCTTTAAGCAAAGCGTCTAAAGACTGACTTGTAAGTCTACCTGCGTGCTGACGTGGGACGTATCCCGCCTCTCATTGGCTGATGCTCTTTGTCAGTCTTGTCAGACTTCTCCAGTTTTCTAGCATGCCAGATATCCAGTCACAGACGAGGGGGCGACTTGCTCGTAGGCTTGTTCACACGAGGACTCGTCGTGGCAGACTATCTGCCGACTCACCTCCAACCCAAGGTGGCTCTCAAGATCCTCCACGACGTCAAAATCGCAGTGAAAATCATGTAATGTGAACTAGGCTTTAATGTACTAGACAATAAACAATCAGGTGATAAATCTGACAACAATTTTAATACTTATGAATGTCGTTTAAGTCATTTCTCGTGCAAAAATGGGGGAAATTTGTGATTCCAGCATCTAATATGAGACTATTTGCTTCTTGTCTCTGATTTATGCCGTTGTTGAGTGAGTATATTTGAATTTTGAAGCTCAGCTGGGACAAACCGTGCATATTGTATAGGCTTGGGCAGTATCATGGATTTACAGTTCACAAGGGTATTTAAAAATTCCCATCGTATGGTTTTAAATAATGTCAAAAACACAGACAGTCCCCTCTCTATTAAACTGATACAGAGATGCTGTATTGAGGTGATGTACTGTAGTGCAAAGCACACACCACCAGAGGTCAGTCTATCCTGGTGGAGCAGGCAGCTGAATTGAGGAAGTAGCGACTGTCAGTGGTGATGACAGCATTACAGAGTTGGTATAAAGCTGACCAGCAACCGCAGAGAGAGACGGAAAGGAAAAAACAGCATATTATTACATCTAACTCAGTAAATTAAGGGTTTATTTCTACACAGATGGTTTTTATGAGCTGCTGAGTTCGAAAGAATTATGTTTTACGATGAGTTAACAAGGTAATTAAGCTAATCTTAGTTCGGTGAAAGAAAGAGAGAGAGAGAGAGAAAGAGAGAATTCAGTAGGTGTACAGTAGAGCTGCCCTTCTTACCTTATATATACGACCCCGCCGCCGTGCTCCGCCTTGCGCTGCCAGCCAATGGGGACCTGGACAGGGACGGCCTGCCTCTCATCTCCCGCCTCACAGTCCTTTCCGCCATTCATTGCTCCACTGGTTTTACGCTCGACACCTCAGAGGTATATCTATCAGACATCAACCAGCGTCTTCGCAATGCACGTCATGTTCGTCTTCCAAAGCCGTGGTGGAGGAGGTGGTGGGAGGGTTGCGGAGAAGGGTAGAGCTGCAGGGTTATGCGTCGACGTAGGGTGGTGGGTGGGTGGTCGGGTAGGGTGAGGCGAGCTCACGGCAGACCCTACCCTTTCAGCTGCTTCATGGCTACAGTGCTGAATGCTGCGTGGACTTCCATTACTGCATCTTGTCGTTCAGAGCCATCCGACTCGGGAAGATGCTGGCTGAATGAGTGGGGGTCAGGAGTCGCTGTGCTTTCACAGGAAAGTCTATTATTATTAACTTTTTATCATTTGTCTTTCGCCGCTCAGGTTCGGTCCTTCAGTCAGACAAGTAGAGTGTGTTCAACATATTGGTTCCCAAACGCAGTTGGGTAGTGGTATTCCCATGGTTCCTGTGAGGGCAGAGCAGAAGAGGAATGTACATGAATTAATGGATCCATTTGTTTTGCATGAGTAAAAGTTCATAATTCAATCTGCTCTGGGAATGACAGACATTAATGGAATAAAGCCCTGTCAATTTATGACATCAGCAAAATGCTACATCGAAATTGGAAACGGAAGTAACTGGAGTAGGCAGTTATATTTTGGCGTCTTTGGGCAGAAATCATGTTAATATCAATATTTCAGAGATAGAGAGTAAATGTTGCTAACAGTTTAGCCGTCTGCTAACCGAGGCTAAAGGCTCACAGCTATGGTTTCAAGTTCACGTTTATGTAGCTAACATTAGCGAGAGCCTCGAATCACAGTGTGTCCTCCCTCTCTCACTCCTTGCTGCTACAAACCACCTCACCGGGAGGAGAGCAGGCAGCAGTTCTGGAGATGGACCCCAAGTCAGCAGCCACATCAACCCAAATCCAGCCAGCGCAAACCTTAGATCCAGGGGACCAGACAGCCCTGACGCCCCACCTGAACTGCAAACTTTCTGTTGCTGCCATTACACAGATTAGTTTAGGCACTGCCTAGGATTTTGTACAGTTCACGTTTAAAACAAGACCGGTACCTGGAATTTGCTACTGGTACCCGACGGTAGACTGTCTGTCTGCTTGTGTGTGTCTACTCATCTAGCAGTGACACTACACAACATAATATAGACCAGACGCCAAAACGATCGAGTAGATCGGCACTGCAGTGATAGTCTTAGCACACTTGAAAGCCGATGAGGGGCTGTGGAGCTCTATGGCTGGCTTCGCAGCAAGTCTGCCTCCCATCTGAAGTTGGCAGAGCTCTGTTGCCAACCCTGGAGCTTCGTTTCCAGGCTTCGTGGCACATCTGTCTCCTGTCTAAAGCTGGCGTTCTCACCCAGATGTAGTCTGAGGTACCGATTATTTGGCGCTAAAGAATTTACCGTGAATCTGTACTTGGTAGTACAGATGTAATTCAGTCGGTAACCTTAAAAGTACAGAGTTCAGTCCTCAATGCAAATGCTGCCACTGGCTATGAACCCACAATGACACCCGGCGCTGGGGGGTTAGTGCTGACCTAATTCGAGCTGCTACAGCTGCCGACCGAAGGTCCACCTCCCGAGCTGCTGCCTGCTGTTCTCCCAGGGAAGCAGTCCACAGTGGTGGAGAGCAAAGCGAAAGGACCATGGGGTGGCTAGCAGCTAATTTTTGTAGGGGTGACCCCGAACAGTCGACGATTCGGTTCGGAGAAGTCTGATTCGACTGCCAGTCTTGCCATCGCAAAATGTGGTTATGAAACAAGACCGTACCATTCTGACTATATGGGGGTGCTCACTGCTGCTGAACATCTTGAAGAATGTATTTGTTTTCTAGTAATTCATGATATATAGCCTATTCTGATACAAACATCAGCCTAGTTTCTGTTAATAAAAAACTGAAAATGACGCGTGCGTTTAATCAGTAGGCAAAATCATTACTATGCATGAATAAATCACCCAGTTGCTTGATCCAAATAAGTTGAGGTGAGTGAGTGCGCTGCAGGACCATCAGAGCAGCATCGAGGCCTACGGTGATTTACAATGGCGGAGCGCATAAACAAACACTTTGGAGGAGGTATGTGCTCTCAAATCAAACTTTTTTGAAGGATTATTCGTTTACCTGAAGTGTCTTGAAACGAATTTCACCGCTGATTGTTTTCTTGATAAACTCTGATTTTTTATTTGGCTACTTTTTGTCCGATGTGGCCAAACAATTGAGAGCGGTGACACACGGTCCATGTGGATGAACTTGTATGAACCTGAGTTGATTAATGAAGTAACTTGAAGTCAGAAAGAAGGAAAACTGTTTCTAAACCTTTTGATGATGTTTTTGGATGTTTATTTGTGAATGAAATGGCAAGTTCTGACGAGTCAGAAACGACTCCTGTTGAAGACATGGATGAGGCTGCAGCGCGTCTGCGCTCATCTAGAGCATCATACCTTGATGAAGTGAAAGGAATAAAGAAAGATAAAATGATAACCCTTTTACTTTTATTATTATTATCTTATTGTGCCAACTGAAGAATTATATTTGTTTATTTGGGTGTTTTAGCTCTTTTCTCTGGAGAGGACACTGATACAAATGAGCTCATTTATCAATGACGGGAAAAACAACATGATTTGGTGATTAGTCTGCTAAAGGAGAAATCTGTCAAATCAGATTCGACTTTGAAGATTCTTAGTCGGGGACACCCCTAAATTTTTGCTCATTTTTGGTCAGATAAAGAGAGAGAGAGAGAGAGAGAGAAAGCGGGACAAGAAGGATATGACCCGCAGACACCTCTACAATGAAAAAAGATTAAATACAACAATGTATGGGAAACACAGGGTTACTATATGAAGCGCGTGCATATGCTTGTGGTAGTCTGGTGGGAGAGCTGCCGCAGAGCTTAAAAAACAAAATGAAAACTAAATAAGAATCTAAAAATCATGGCAAAAACACTGCATAAATCATTTAATCATTTCCACTGAATCAAGCCAACGATGCCGATGTCGTGCCCCAGTCGTAAGGATTTCTCTCTGATAGATGTACGACTTTTACCACAATGCTACGTTCTACTGTTTACCTAACCATCGTAGCAGCACAAAAATAAAACAATTACAGCTGTGATGCCTTTCATAGTCGTAAAATCCCATGTGAGAGTATTACAAGCTGTAGTGCAGTCTTTTGGGGTTTAATAAGCCTTCAAATTCACAGATCTGTTACTCATACTGGATCATATTTCATGTCATATACCAGCGCCTGAAGCAACACACCCCCACCAACGCAGCTCTTTACGTTGTTTGAACGCAGGGCTGTTTTCGGTCTCAACGTCTGCTTGGGAATACCTTCAATACGAGGCTTTCAGAGTCAACGTTTTACAATGAACAACAAGATCAGGCTTTATATAGAAAACACTGATCAGTTCAAGAAATAATACGGATCAGGAAATCACTGCATGCATTAAAATGCTGCTAATCACAATGGCTAGACGACAAAAATCTGTTTTATTTTTTGCGCAGCAACACTGGCAGCTCTCTCAGACATTTCAAACACTGGTAGGGGCCCATCAAAGCTGGTAAATCGGGCTGAACTCAGTACGTGAGTGATGGAGCTCCATGCAAAGCCTCCTCTCAGCCGCCGGTGCTGCTGACTCATAACTGCCCTGTGAGCTGCTGAGACCGAACCCAGTGACACCACCACAGAGGAAGAGAGGGAGGTACGGAAGGTAGCACTTGTAAAAATGAGGCAGCAGTTAAAACGTATGCTGTTTATCTGGAGATACGCTGCAGCAACAGTCGCATCTCATCATCTCAGGAGAGGTGCGTAGTGTCCTATCACAGAAACCACCACATCGTTAAAATCTCATTTCCCAGAAGCTCCATGTTTGGAAAACGCAGAGGTGACAGAGAAATTTCTGTTGCGTTCACAACACAGGAGACAAGGAATTATTTCTCCAACACGTGCTCAGTGCAGAGTTGCTGTTTGAGAACACCTCCGGCCGTGACACGTGTAACCTCTGTATTTTGTTTGCTCAATTCAGAAATAGGCAAGATGGGGTACGGGGAGTGATGTGCAGCAAAAGTCCTGGATCAGATTCAAAGCCAAGACATTCTGATTAAAAAATACATAGGTGCCATGGCCAAGTGTTTTCATCTTAACCTTTAGCAGAGCAACAGGATCTAAATCTACCACCGTGCTAATATGAAAGCACAAATTTAAATCCCAGCTCTCACCATTTTACTGCCCATTTCTCCCCCACCATTTCCTGACTCTCAAGAATGTCCAAATTACATGTGGTACCTGCTAATCTGTAACCTTTTACTGCAGGCTGATCTTTTTTTAAGATTATGTTTGTGGCCTTTTCGCATTTATTGTTCACAGAAGCAGGAAGGAGACGGAGAGACAGGGAGGAAGGACAGAGAGGAGCAGAGAGGTGGTCGAACTCGGGACATTGTGGGGACATAAAAGCTGACCAGAAATGCGGCATGAATTCAATTATTACTGCATTGAAAACATCTTAAGGTGGATATTTTATTGAAGCCTGACAGTAGGCTTTGCAGCTTGCAGCAGGGAAGATGGACCAGCTAAAACTGTGGGACACACAGCTGCTGTAGCTCGGCTGTCGATGGGGAACGCTGCCTCAAAACTGGAACTACACGTCAGGGTTACAACGGCTACGGATGTACCACATGTAGGGTACTGTGATTCAAATTGATAGCTGAGGGATTTTTCGGCAGATTAACATGAACAAAAGCAGATATATTTCAGCCTCGTCAGGATACAGGGCATCAACTGTCATTCAATGCAATGGAGCCAGCACTATAAAGCTTCATTAACTGTACAATACGTGTATGGTATCACGTTTACATTCCTGTTTCAAATGACACAGAGCAGAAACGCCACATTTAAGACTTCATAATAAAGTGTTGCACTGCTGTTAAGTACGCATGATACGCAGAGCGGTATGTAGGTTGAAAACATATTTTTTAATGTTTAAAGAAGGCTTTGATCCAACAATTCCTAAATTGAGCAGATCTTCAAAATGACGACTAATAAAAAAATCGCATCAAGTAGGGCTGATACCTTCTGGGCGCCAAATTGTCACTGGTGGCTGTCGTTACTTTCATGAGCGTTTTTCATAAGCGAAAACATCAGGCACTATTCTGAAAATGCCCAGCTAGGAGCGCCAGAGCGCTGAAAAGATGCACGGCTTTCTCAGCGAGGCACTTTGGTTGCGTTCAGTTGCCATAACGTGAAATATCTGCACAAGTAGACATGTCTGCACGAGGTAGAGCACTTGCTCTGGCCCTTGTTTTAGATGAAGGGAAGGCGGAAGCTCGTCTCTAGCCTCATTCAGTTGAGTTCAGTTTTTTAAACATTAAAATATCTGTTTTTGCATTTCCATTGTCATAAGCTGTCATAAGTACTAAGGCTGCAACTCATGATAATTTCATTGTCGACTAATCTGTTGATTATTTCTTCGATTATTCGACTCATCAAATGTTCGTCTGTCTCTCCCAAACCCCAAAATTATGTCGTCTTGTTTTGTACTCACGCCAAAGGGTTTTAGTTCACCATCATGGGAGAGCGTGTCAAGCTGCCAATATGTGAACATAAGAAGCTGCAATAAGAGTATTTTGGGGTACTTTTATAGTACTTTTCTATGAGAAATGACTCAAACTGATTAGTCGACAACTAGAATAGTAACCGATTATTTTAACAGTCAAGTAGTCATCGATTAGTCGAGTAATCGTTGCAGCCCTACTTAGCACACTGATTCGATACTAAAAGGTGAAGCTAGAAAGGACAAGATCCATGGATGATGAAGGTGCAGACGTTCCACTGCATTGACAGTGAAGAGGAAACACCACGAGACCTGTACGGAGCAGTGACGCATCTGATACCATCTGGTAACAACCCGGCCTACATTTAAGAGTACTGGCTGCATTAGAACTACCAAACAAAAGCCCCTTTTTTGCCCAATTTTCCACCTCGTAGGGTAGTCATATTGGCGGAACCCTTTTAGTTTGAAAAGCTGTTGAAGACTTGTGGGAGGAGCTGTTGATGACACCGCACGTGCGACCCACTGGCGGTGGATAAACAGGAAACAGCTGATAGCAGGAATTAGCGAGCAGCTAGTAGCAAGAGGGAAACACAAACCTGGCAGACACTGTAAAGATGAGCAACTGGGGAGACAAAGAATTGCGCGCCCTCCTTGTCCTCGCAAACGAAGAGGCCATTAACCGGCAGATGACGGGGACGGTGAAGGACGGGCCGACTTACGAGAGACTCGCCGAAGGACTGACCAGCCCGCGGCTTCCCTCCCACGTCACTGTTTACGTCACACGCTGAGCTACACGTTTTGTTACTTGCTCACGCCCCCCATTGCCCCGAAAAAGGTGCATAAAATGTTGCTGCCGTTTGTGGCGTACTTTAAATATGTGGCTTTCCCATTGCAAAGAATTAAAAAAACACACCGGCAACAGCAAAAAAAAACTATGGCAAGTTAATCTAGAGATAACATGCAGATTTTTAATTTCTGTGTCACCCGCTCGATTGGTTGAAGAGTCAGAATGTTAGTCGACCCCGATTTTACAGCATCACACTTGATAAGCACACATCGCTATCACACTAAGCAACTGTGGATCATGTCTTATTAGTGCCAAGAGCGCATGTAGAGAAGATACTACGATTTCAAGATGCTGTACAATCACTGCTAGAAAAACAAAAGGAAACTGTGTAGCTTTGAGACAAAGCAGTGGAGGATCATTTTGGGAGTGGACCCTAAATTTAGTCCTGTAAATGTTCCCCCATGTCCTCATTTTGTCCTTAGCATGTGCTGTCGTTGTCATTATTGTTTTGCCCTCCCAAATGATGCTGGGGAGGAATGCCCTTAATAAATGACAAGGATAGTAACATGAAGCCTGACGTCACTGCACAGTCACTGATGTCTGCGATTTGAGACGAGACTGCATTGTGTGGCACTCGGGACAGTAAATCTGACCTGTGTGAAAAGGTGAGAGATGAAAAGCGAAAGCAATCGACGATAATAAAAGTATTTCCTGTTTTAGGAAAAGATGCAGCACCACTGTAAACATATTTTGGGGGAGAGGAAGAAGAAGAAGGAGCCTTGCATGCGATGGGAATTCTACACAGCTTGGACTCAATCCAGCTGCAAACTTCATATGAGCAGTACGGAGCAAGAGTTAATGCAGAAGAAGACATAAATACAGCCACTGTGGACTTGCAGCAATGCAGCCTCAGAAAGGAAGAAAGAAAATGTTTAAGATAAGAAATCGCATCAAAATGACAAGTGGAACTGCAGCCAAAGGTTCCTGAGTAACTGAATTTGCAGTCCATTAAGGATGGCAGCTTATGTAAATGAAAATGTTCTCTCTCAATGTCCAAATTTGAAAGAATATGATCAGACAAAGTGGCTCGTGTGCATCTCATTGCGTGGTCAAGACGTCCCTTTCTGTCTGTCTTGTCCTGATTCTACAGGGACGTGAATGCACCCCAGCAGCAGCTCTTCATTTGCTGTTGTGATCATTGGAGTTGCCTTTAAGGTCTGTCCAACCCACAATCACGTCTAATTGTCTTGACTCATCCTGACCGGGACACGGAAACTTTTTATCTGCTGGCTAGCTGGTGCGGCAGCTGGTAAACTTCACCCGCTGACTCATGACTCAGATCAGGACAGGATCTTTAAATGATGACTGCAGGAGAACTGGAGTTTACCAGCATTTTGGGTTGTAGTGACGAATAAAGCTATTTAGAGCTATTTATTTCAGTCAGTTACTTAGTTTGTGTTATTGTGTGAGTTTGGTGTTTAACCATTTAAAATCAGACCGATCATATTTTGGATGATTGTGTTGCTATTATATGTCACCTTGATAAAGACGGTGATTAGGAGCTTTATCATGTAGTATGCTCCACGTAAGACAGTCTGGGCAACGTTTATGGTCACAAATGTCCTGCCCACTTCTAAACAAGACATTTTCTGTGCACTTAAATCTGCATTTAAAGACACTTAAAATATCTAAAAATGTGCCAAGAAATCAGGGTCTGGCACACACTGTCAAATAAAGCAACACAGGGTTGCAGCGGTATTACATGTCATCTTCCATGTTTAGGGAGTTTATCATGTAGTATGTTCTATATAAGGCAGCCACAAATGTCCCTGGTTCTTTTGTGCAGGATGATGCATTTAAACCTGTCCACTTAAGATATCTAAAAATGCATTAAGTAACAAAACATCAGGGTATGTCATATGCCATCAAATAAAGCAAATGTTTAGGAAGTTAATGACGCACTATACTCTATATGAGGCAATCCAGTGCACGTTTGTGGTCACAAATGTCCCTGCCCACGTCTGTGCAGGATGTTTCTGGTGCATTTAAATCTGTGTTTTAAGCTTAAAATACCTAAAAATGCAATTAAAGCCAAGAGAACAAGGTCTGTCACATGCTGTCAAATGAAGCCACACAGGATTGCAGCGACATGTCATGTCATCTTCCGTGTTTAGGAAGTTTATCATGTAGTATGCTCTATATAAGGCGGTCTGGGACACGTTACTGGTCACAAATGTCGCTGGCCACCTCTGTGCAGGACATTTTTGATGCATTTAAATCTGCAATTAAAGCCACTTAAAATATCTAAAAATGCATTTGGTGCCAAGAACTCAGGGTCTGTCAAATGTTGTCAGGATTACAGCAACATTTCATTTCAATGTTCAAGAGGTTAATCATGTCACATGCTCTGTATAAGGCAGCCTGGGGCACGTTTATGGTCACAAATGTCCCTGCCCACTTCTGTGCAGGACATTTTCTGTGCATTCAAATCTGCATTTTGAGCCGTTTACTCAAAACCTTTACCTAAAAATGCAATTAGCGCCAAGAAATCAGGGTCTGTCAAATAAAGCAACACAGGATTACAGCAACATTTCATGTCATCTTCCATGTTTAGGAGGTTAATCATGTCATATGCTCTATATAAGGCAGTCTGGGGCACGTTTATGGTCACAAGCGTCCCTGCCTTCTTCTGTGCACAACACTTTTGCTGCATTTAAATCTGTGCTCTATGCTTAAAATATCTAAAAATGCATTTAATGCCAAGAAATCAGCGTCCGTCACATGCTGTCAAATAGAGGGCTGCAGTGGTATTACATGTCATCTTCGATATTTAGGAAGTTCATCACATAGCATGCTCTACTGACTAGTTAGTCTGGGGCACGTTTATGGTCACAAATGTCCCTGCTCACTGCTGTGCAGGACATTTTTGGTGCATTTAAAGCTGTGCATTTAAATTATCTAAAAATGCATCCAGTGCCAAGAGAGCAGGGGCTGTCACATGCTGTCAAATGAAGCAAAGCACAGAATAGGTACCTGCACAAAGCATGCACTGTTTATGGAGCATAATCCTGGACATGATAAAAGGACAAACTGTGCAACACCAAAATGTAACAGCAGTGAGCCCTGCTCTCCTGTCACTGACCCAAGACATCCACCACTGCTCTCTCCAGACTAGATTAAATCCATTAATTCTCCACCTAGCATTTAAATCTTGCTGTAACCCCACAGAGCTGGCTACAGGCTAGCTTCAGGGGTAAATTAGCCATATTGTCCTGCAGCAGCCTTCAAAGTTGACAGCTACACAAGTTGGCTGCGTCGCGAGCTCCATGACAAGACTTTTCCCCCAAATGTGGAGGACATGACAACCGCTTGTGTACATTACCAGAGCAACCATAGGTGCCTGAGCGTTAGATAACAGCCAATTAGCCTGGTGAACATTAGCCAGACTGCTTATCAACTGTGCCAAGTGTTGCTTTATTAAGCCACAGCCGTGTGGCGTTCAATGTTTGGTTTGTGACGGGGTGAGACGTGCGGCTGCAGCTCCACCGTGTGCGGGCCTCGGCGTGAAGAAGTGGCCGTGTCAACAAGCGGGATCAGTGCTGTGTGCCTGTGCTGTTTGATGCATTGGACACAGCATCTGAACTAGCTGGGGGGTTAGCATGCCAAGCGTCAGCTGTCTAGCTACCGTTACTTGGGTAAGCTAGCCAGCTAGCTTGTTGTAACGAAAATGAATTAGAGGGCGAGCTCGGCTACGCTAGTAACGTTTTAGCGTTTAATTGGCGAAACGAAACCGCCACCGGGCACGTTGGGGACCCGCAGCCCAGATTCCGACTCCATATTGTCGAAGTAAAACGCACCAAGGCCCGCGTTGGGGTTTCGAGCCAAGGGGGCCAGGCAAGGCCAGGGCCAGGCCGAGTTAGCACGGGTTAGCTTAGCATGCTAGCTAACAGCCGTGCAAACCCGTTGCGTTTGCAGAGAGAGAGAGAGAGCGAAGAAGAAGAAGAGAGAGACGCTTTTCAGGCACTAACGTTTCTGTCTGCGTCAAATCAAACCGTAAACAGCTCCTTCTTACCCGGGCATCCCTGCGAATGCATACCGGCACCGAAACCGTGACACGGGCGAGCGGCAGCGCGTTTCTGACCTTTGGAAAAATAAGAATAAGAAGCCTACCCATTAGTTCTCTGCCTCTGCTGGTTCTCCTACACTGGGATATTGGAAATGATGGAGAGCCGCACTGCGCATGCGCGGCAGGCAGGCAGGCAGGAGCAGCCAGCAGATGGGAGAGGTGATGCACGTTACCCCCAGAGCTCACATACATAAGCTCTGCATGGCAAAGAAAGTTGGGAATGAAATGGTGAAATGAGTGACTCACACAGGGATGTAGTGATCAGTGAGGCTCCCACAGTGAGGTCTGGGGGCCTCCAGGGGCCCCTGAGCTTCACCTAAATAGGGAATCATCCTGTTGTTTCACTTATTTGACTTGAATCCTGCGACAGAATAAAAGACAGTGACCTTTCTTGGGGAAAAAGGGCCGCAACTAACAGTTTCTCACATATTTGATCAGTTGTTCGGTCTCTAAAATGTCAGAAAATGGTGAAAAATGATAAAAATCAGTGTTTCCTGAAGCCCGAGATGACGTCCTCAAATGTCTTCTTTTGTCCAAACACATAGCCATTCAGTTTGCTATCACAGAGGAGGAAAGAAACCAGAGCATATTTACATTTAAAGAGCTGGAATCAGACAAATATGATATTTTTTCCTGAGGAAATTAGTTGATTAATTTAATAGTTGACAGCTAATCACTTCAATAATCAATAGTAATATGCTATTACAGCCATGATAAACTCAACTACAGGTAAATTATGCTTTATCCACCAACATTCTGAAGACATACAGGTGACACAGAACACAAAGTGCAGGAGCAGTTTTCGCTGACTTCCAGAAACTATCTAATAAACACCGAAGCACCCAGCGAAACAGAACTGACACTGCCATGTTTCTTATTGTCAAACTCGTCCACTTAGCAACAGTAACTAAGGAAGTGGGACTTAGGATTGGTAAATTGGGCCCCGAAGAACACTGCTCAGCCTTGCAGCCAATCTTGTTGACATCACACCTTGACCTGGAAACAAGGTCAATCATGACTTCTTCTGGACGAATTTTTGATCCATGGAGGTTTTATATTTGGAGCAAAGAAAAACGGCTTAAAAAACCGTGACGTCATCACAATGTAAAGTTGAACTGAGCAGGAATTTGTGGGCGGGGCCAGCAGGAGATACGCTATTGTGCATATTCAGCGGGAAAGCTACATGCTAGAGACAGAAAACTAGCTTTTTATGTCGGGGCTTCAGGACACTTGGATCACTACGGACGAGCAGTATGGAGATATTTTGTGGTTTCAATTATGTGTTTCTGGACGTTTGAATCTGGGGCGCCGTCAGCCTCCATTAGGTGGAGTTGTGTTGCTACCTCCTCTCCCCTTGGATCTCCTCAAGTAATGTAAGGACTCTAAAACTTCACCTGAGCCTCCCTCGGCATATGGGTGAGTAGATAATGGCTGAATTTTCATTTTTGGGTGCACTTTTGGGTGAAGACATGGCCAAACGCAACCATGGAGCTAAACGTATTAAACTGTGTGGACCTTGAACTAATGACTCAGGAGAAATCTGGACTCTGAGGCTGCACCAGTTGGGAACCACTGCTTTCGGATAACTCCTGCTGTCTATCATCGGGCCATATAAACTTCTTGTCGTGACCACCACAGAAGGCCCGCCTCTCAACTCATCTGATTGGGCAATGGGGAAAAAAAGGCGGAGATGACTTTGGGTAATTTTCTGCTTTGAATTGAATTTTTTTCAACTTGAGTTCAGAGCGCTCCGGCAAAAACGCCAGGCGTCTAGAGTGCAGAAACGTGAGGTGCGTAGCAGCACATAAATTGCGAACAAAAAGCCTAATTCTCATAAACAATTACAAGAAAGCGCCTCCAGCTGCTGAAAAGCAAACATTTTGATGGCACATTTTTGTTTCTGTGGCCGTTAACAACCTGGTCTCACTCCGAAGTTGTCGAAATCTGACACTTGGGCAGTGACTTGCGGCGTTAGACAGTGATGAAAAAAGCCGTCCTTTAACGTCAGCATGATATGGAGCCGGTCGCGGTTAAAGTTTAACAGCGCTTGGTGGCGTCAGGGAGAAACGCAGCAGGACAAGAACAAAAGTTAAGGCGGTGAAAGTCCCGCCTGTCCAAAGATTAAAAAGCCAAACCCTGTTCTTTTATCCTCAATCCAACCACGTGCGTTAGTTGTTAGAGGACAAAAGTGTCAATTCACGGTGTACTGACGTAGTGCTTTTATTTTGAAAGAAACTGCATGCAAACTGTACATCTCCTGTGAAAACAGAAGTTTATTTTGAAAGAAGACAATACATGTAACAGGCAGAAGTTGACACGGCGTCCCAGAACATCAACAACCAACACACCCAGGGTACCTTGGACGTAGTCAGGTCCATGACCAAACATGTTGCCTTTAAAGGAACAGGAAATAGCAGTGTGGTTTCAGTATGTAGTTTTACAGCAGTGATGGATGTGATGTGTGTTCAAGTCTGTGCATAATTAATATACTGTATAGATTAACAGGAAAGAAAAACATATTTACAACTGTAAAAAACACCTGTGTGATTATTTAAAACTCATATTAAACCTCAGTATTTAACGCAATCGACAGCAGAGAACAGACACATAATATTCAAAGCAAATATTCTTTGTCAGGGTTAAAATAAAACACAATCACCTCCTTGTTGATGTAATAAAACTCACTAATAATAATCCCATTAACGGCAGCTGATAGCTCGGAGGTATTGTGTCACATTAATGAGGCGTATTGTGTTAACAAGATTAATACTATTAGCTGCAAATTGTTGTAATGTTGATAACTAATTACAGTAATTGGAAGGTTTTAATTTTAAAACTATTAACACTGGCTGCATCACCTCTAGCAATTCATCAGCTGTTATGAGACATTGTTGAATTATTAAAATAATATGAGTGGAATACAGAAAAATACATTTCTACTGGAGATGAAAAAGTACAAACTGCAGTGTTGTGGTTGTTTCCCAGTTATATGTGTTTATGAAAATATAAAAATATGAAACACAGCGGCGGCGAAGCAAAAAGAGACGCTCAGCAAAATAATTTCCCTGGATAAATAAAGGTCACAAAAGCTCAAAGATGGAGGAGTTCAGTCATCTGAAGTGAAAAGGAGACGCAGCTCAGGGTGCAAATGCTGGAGTTCTGTCTGAAGGTCAAACCTGAGGAGACGTTAAATTAATTCAGTGTATGGCTGCTCTAAAAGGAGCGCTTCATGTATTTTTAAGGGCAAACACAGAGCTGAATGTGTGAGCCGAGAGCCGTATTTTAGAATAATGTGACAGGCTAAATGTGAGCGGAAACCGGGAGACGATTTGCGAGATATCTGGTGGTTTATTGTGCTTTTTTCATCAGTCAACCAAAAGTCACAGGAAGCGTTTAAGTATCTCCAGAGCGCCGTCATCATTGTGAGTGAGTAAAAGATGTTGCGCAGCCTTTCAGATGAACCATCCCTCCTAATTTTATCAAAGTCAGAGCGGCAGTGGCGGTTATGGCTTTAAAAAAATGTAATTTATAATTGCATATAATTGCCTCTGGTAGGGCAATCAGTGTCATCTTTGGAAATGCTTTTCATCACACCTCCAAATTTTGTCAGGATCACACAGATGTTTTCTAAAATTAAAATTTATTACTGAGTCCTGAGTAGATGTTGCTTGTCTGAGAGTAAAGACTGCAAGGTGGGATATATGGGCTGAAATTAAGAGAAAATGTAATAATAATATTTATTTATATGGCACCTTTAAAGGCAGAGTTTACAAAGTGCTTTGAAAGCAGCAGCAAGATACCCCAGAGGCAACATAACAATAGAAGACAAACTAATGCAGAACTAAAGCAAAGAAAAAAATTAAGGAAAATGAAACAAGAGATAAGATGTAAAAACATCAGGAATTAGACGGATGATTATGACAAGTAGAAATAAAAACAATAAAACCACACAAATAAAAGTAAATGCAATAAAAAGACTAAAAGCAAGAAACACACACTGAAAAAAATAATAAGGAGGTTTGAAGACAGAATAAAAAGATAAACAAAAAGACGCATATTGTGTTAAACATTTCAGCTATAAACCTGGGCGTTACTAAAATTATTTACATCATGTATTTGCAAAGTATTTGTAAGATACGATTTCTCTAGACAAAAACACTGCTACAAATGCAAATGCTCAAAGATGTGGTCATTTCAAAGATGCTTTTAAAGACAAATAAAATGTTGATTAATGTACATAAAT